CTGAACCCAATATCACAGGTTTCAAGAGTAGGCGCCACAGGGACTTTCTGACGGCAGATTTCAGCTAAAGCAATGTGCTTTCAGAATCCAGGCCCCCAGTGACAGCTCCTGGTCTCCTGCCTTCATAGAGGTGGCAGAGGTGGAAGCAACTCAGAAGTTGGCTCCTGCAGCCTTCCCACCAATGCTGCAAACACCTGCCTCTCTCTACTCGATGCCTTTCTGCTTAAAATAGCTGCCGTGGTTTTTGTTTCCTGCAACTGAGCCCTGCTGATACACACCGTTCTCTTCCTTTGCCTCTAACTGCTGGTTTCTCAACTGCCAACCCCGCAATTAATCCTGTGAACACTAGGTTGAAAGCTTTGAATATCTTCCTCTAGCCTCCTTATCCTGCTTCACTTTTCTCCACAGCATTTGTTGTCACCCAGCGATTATTTTTCTTTATTGGTTCAATGTTCCCCTGCCACGAGAATTTAAGCTCCGTTAAAAGAAAGGCTCTATTCACTTCTGTACAACTCTCTAACAATTAGAGCAGTACTGGCAAATAGTGGCAATTCATTGGTGTTGAATGAATTAAATCTACTTTTCTTAATAAAATGCTCCTACTAAATTAATGTATTAGTAATAAAATCATCAAAATCCCCTTGGTACTACTTCCTCATGAAGCTTTCATCTAGATTTCTAACATCCGTAAAACCACACAAAATGACAGCATCTCATGCTGATCTCAGCATTATGTTTAGGACAGCAAACTCCTTCCAGTTTTGATAGTAAAATCCCACATCCTAACAACATCTCAGTCCTGGGCAAATCAAGACACTGGTCATCTGAATAAAACCTGTGCTATGACACATGAGAAAGGCACTTAGAATTCTATTAATTTTAATCATCCTTTCAAATAAATATTTGGAAACATGAATCCGTGCAGCCTATGGTTTCCTTCCCTTACCACAGCCGTGTTGAATGTGATTCATGTAACCATCAGGTAAAATTTGAGTGATGACTTTGATCTGTATTCTGATTTTTTTTTTTAACTAAAATACTCATTTGCCTAGACAATGAATCTTTTAAAGCTGAGCCAATGAAACTTTACCTGTATTTCAAAGGTCCATTAAACACATGACACAGACTTCCCAGAGAAAAGGTACTACAAATAATGGTGAGCTCTCGGGTCACAGAGAGCCTGGAGTACTGTTGAGAGACAGAGGACTGAACTCTGCAGAGAGAATTTGTCAGTGTTATTTTTAGGAATGAATACAGGCTTGCTCCTCAATAGCCGTAAGGAAATCACCCCTACTTAGTTGCTGTCCTTACCCTGAAACTTCTAGCAGTATTCCCAATGTAGCACCTGGGTTCAAAAGGTCAGAGCCTTTGAACTGGCACACGAGAGAGAACCAGAGCACTTTTGGATATAAGATCTAAGCTTCTGGCAGATGGAACACTTTGGATATTCTTGTTCTCTGATGATTCATGGAGGCAGACATTTAAGTATTTACATTTTAAAACATTCTTCTCAACCAAAACCGCAACTTAGGGATGCTATTACTCTGAATTTTTTTTTACACCTGCAAAAACAGTTGGGTTGCTAAAATCAACCTTTTTCTGTGACAAGACTGTTGCCTGTCACAATGATGTTCCTCTAGCAGAGAACAGAATGGGTTAACTGAGCAGCAGTTGCACAATAGCAGCACAATACATTCCACAGTGCCCGCCGTCTCTGTCTGAACATGTTTATAAAGCAGATATGCAGAACCGGACCAAACCCCCAAGGGCAGCTTGCTTAGAGGAACAAAGCACACAAAGTGCTTTTGTTCTGAAGAAATTTGGTCAAAGGGCTCAGCACATGCTCTTGTTAGACTGTGTGAATGCTGCAATGTTCTATGTCTTGATTCTTCCACGCAGCATGACCAGGTTCTTGGACAGACTTAACATTTTTGCTAAAACCAGCTCCTAGGCCTGACCGCTTCCTTCCATGCACTATTTTCAGAAGCAGAGGGCCTGTGCCTCTGCACCTGTTGTTAGTTTGGCCCCTAACCTCTGTGGAACCCTCTCTGGTCCTCACAGCAGAGCCAGCAATGCCCAGTGCTGGCCAAGGGGTAGTACCATTGTCCACTGGGGCTGGGGGGGAGCGGTCCCAGAAGTTGGGCATCCTGGTGGGGGGGCACAATGTCATTCTGCATCTGCTAACCCAAAGCTTTGCACAGCCGGGGCTCCCCTCCCCAGGTCTGTGGCTGTCCTCATTGTTGAAAGACACACCTGTGGCCCACAGCCCTGCCTGTTGACAGTGGGTGTGGAGCTCAGGGAAGAAGGGGATCCTGAGACCGACTGCCTAATAGCGACCTTGCCTTGTTCTGCTTGTTGGGATGTGAATGCAGCCGAGATGCCACTGAAGATGCTCACAGTCCCGTGGGAGATGCAAACACCTGGGATACCTGAGATACCAGTGCAGCCTGGAGACAGAGGGGGGGAGTGCTGCCACAGCCCCAGGCAGGTCAGGTTTCTGTCCCCTGGCTGATCATCCTGGCCCTGCGTGTGCTATAGTGTGGAGTCTCATGGTGAAGCTGGTGGCTCAGCATCACTGGCTAAAAACCAGGCTCTGCTGCCATTCTCTCTATCCAAAGCTGGTCCTGAGACGTGGGATATCCGACCTCTGTGTACCCGGGACACATCTTGGCTATTTTGTTTGCCAGTCTTAAGGCTTTTGTTTTTCTTCAGTAGAAATTTGGCAGAAGAGTGGGGTTCTTATTTTCTTCCTTTTATGTAGGTCTGTTTGTCCAAAGCTAGAATAACAGGGGGCTTTCAAAGCCTAATGAATTCAGCACTCAAAGAATGGCCTTGAGCACATGGAGGGTCTAATGTTCCATGTCTCAGACTTGTTTGGGGCTTAGCACTTTTTTCATTCACAGGCAAAATATTTCCAAAAGCACAAGTTCGAACTTTCAGAATCCTGAAATCAAATCACTGATCTTCCTCATTCCTAAAATGCCTCTCAGTAGTGGCTAAACGAGGCAGAGTACATTGTACCTCTGGGAGGAGGATATTATTTTAGGATTTTGATGCCCAAAGAATTTGTATTTCTTACCCATTCACATATAATTCTCTATAAATATATTCAAACAGTTTAAACGCTGCTTTTGGCATTTACTTCATCTGAACATGGAAGTGCTTTGGCTGAGTATGAATATATTTAGACTTTCAAATGGCTTTCTGGGACCCCTTGGTATCCAGGAGTATTGTATATACTGGGTTCTCCCAACCTTGTGGCGGGATAGAAGCTCCTGTCCCTGGATTCACAATTTACAGCTGTGCAATGAGCTTCGCTATCAAGGGAGTGACCCAGGTACTGGCTGCAGAGAATGGAAACAATTGTTTCAAGGGCAGTTGTACTGGACTTAAACTCAACATACAGCCAAACCCATCATAAAACCTTATCAGCTCAGATAGATGCCAACCAGTGAAGCACGTGTCCTAGTACTTCCTCTAAGCCACAACAAGGTCTGGGGCTTCAGTTCATGTGTTTTCTTCATCATGTGGACCCTAGGCATTGGGTTTAACTAATTTATTCACTTACACAAATGGCAAGTATCATATAGAAACAATGACACCTTTCTAAGAAATATTTTAAGCATTCTTCTGTTTTTTAAGCATGCTTTATGGCCTTATTGACAATGTTATATTATCTTTAGCACTTAAATTGTCTCCAAGTCCTAATTTTCATCCACCAGTTAAGGTTCAGTCTTTTTCCAACCATAAAAGTGGAGAAGGGTGGCGACAAGGAGTTTGAGAAGAGGGCAGAGAACCAGAGCTCACCTAAACCCTTTGAGCACCAGGCCATGTGATCAGGGCCAGCTTCTGTTTGTTTTCTTTCAAAACAGGATGACTGAATGACAGGATTCTGATATGTCACAAAGAACTGAACTCATCTACTTAGGACCTTATGATTCCTCCTTCCACTAAGAAGTTGACATAAATACCTTCCAGAAAGGTGGTCCCCACAGAAACTGCCAAGGGCCACAGGTGGCATTTCCACTCCAATACACCCACCAGTAACCACTCCAGTGGATATCTGCTCTGGGCAGAGAACTTTATGACTGCTAATTTTATCTGCAGCCACACATGGAGAGATAGGCATAAAAATAGCCCTTTGTCCTTTCATAAATTGAAGGAACCTTTTCAAATATTAACTTACCAATCTTTTCACAATGCCCCAGAGGTGGTAGGTAGGCAGCAGTTTTAGTACCATTCTCAGGAGCAGCAGAGATTAAAGCAGTGACTTTCTCAAGGTCAGGGATACACCTCAAATACCAAATGAGTGATGGGGGCTTGAAGTCACATTGCTCACTCCAAAACATATTCCCTAAGTTTTGAAGGCATGTGCTTGCTTCCGCAGCACACAGACTAAATTTTGAAGACAGGGCCTCCATCTAAGATCCAGATCTTGGAATGAAAAAATAACAGACTAGGTAAGAGTCAACACCTAATGATTATTTCCTGTAATTGAAAATGTCTTAGTCATGCACCTGGTATGAGACATAAATACAAAACTTCAGCCATACACACAGTCTATGGACAAGCAGAGGACAATCATCTATGGATAAGAGGGAGGTAGAATCTTCTCAGTGAGGTGGGTAAACAGATTCCCTCCACAGTCACGCCAGACATGGGCTCCATTTTCAATACCATTGACTCTTACTCTGTAGGTGAACTGAGGAAAGGCATTTTCATTTTGGGTCCCCATTTCTGAAGAATGGGGATAAATCCCTATTCTGAGCACAACTGCAATGAGCAAAGAAGGTAACTGGGGTAAGACATTCAACATGACGCTCACTACCAGAAGGACATTCGGCAGAGGAGATCCTCTATCACCTTGCAGTGTGAGTCTCCAGGGTGTCTTGTAATCAGCAAGAGAATGTTTTGGTCCCCAAGAAGAAATGATATTTTCTTCAGCCCTGCCCCATAGTCATACTCTAATCAGACAGAGACAAAACCAGGAGTGATGCCCGTTAAAAATTTAACTATATATCATATTCATTTATTATCAATCCACAGGATAATTTGATTGCTACATGAGCTCATAAAAGCTTTTCTCACCTTTACAAAATTAAAAAAAAATGTGCCACAAGGATGTAGTAACAACTGCTGATAAAGAAAAGGAATCTTAAAATTATAAATTTGCTGTAGAAAAGATAAAAAACAATTATATTTTATTTAGAATTTTACCTTGAATAAAATATTCCCTGTATAAAAAATAAAAAAGCTTGCTCTGGTTAGAATTAGAGTATTTTCGTCTTCAAATCTGGGAATTTGCATAATATTTCCATGATAGTTTTCCTTTGTACCGCGTGGCATTCAAGCATAGCAGATTAGACACTTTTTTTTTCCCCAAGCAGTCTTAAAATGGGACATCTGTGAAGTTCATTTTCTTCTTCTCCTCCTCCAGGGTGTAGAGCACAGCCTTCGAGGGGAGGAAAAGGAGGAAAGGAACCGAATGGGGAGAGGGGGGGAGGCGGGGTAACAGGGAAAGAAGGGGGCGCTGTATGTGCTGTGAATAGAGCAAAATCACAAGAAGGCCTAAGTGCTTTAAGATAAGGTGCAGAAGCAGACTGCAGTGTTGCTAGTGCTGCCCTATGTACATATTCACAAGAATAAAAAATTCCAGCTAGTTCACATTTTCTCGTCCGTTCTGAGGCATCCATTCCACCATGCTGGCCTTGACCATAGGCAGCGCAGCACCTCCACTGCTCATGTGGTTGTTGGTCCTTGAACTTGAGGGAGTAGCCCCGGGAGATCCAGCAGGCTCTAGAGATACCAAGGGGCTGGAGTCCTGAGTTTAAAATAAAACCTCCAGTACTGGAGTTGGACACAGCAATCAATGTTCTATTGTCAAGGCTTTTCCCCTTAAATTTGTCTAAAATAGGTGTCAGAGAGAGAACAAAATACAAACAATAACACAAAGCTAAGAAATCCCAACAACCACTAGGGAGGGTCAAAGACTTAGTAGCTCTTGACTCGGGGCTGGGTGATATCTGACGTCTTCTTGATGACACTGGCCCTGGTCTCCCTGTCCGGCCGACTGCTGCTGGGTGTGGGGGCCACAGAGGAAGGGAGAGAGAGGTCTGCAAGTGTGGGCCAGGAGCTGCTGTAGGGCATTGTACAGCTCTCTTCCTTGATGGTGACCTGGAGATCGGGCTTGTTGGCAGTGACGAAGGATGCGACGCCAGGCAGCAGGTAGGTGCTCCGCGTCCCCATGTTGCTGAGGTACTGTTTGCCTTCGATGTTCCTCTTCCGCCAGTGTGGTCTCCCCTTTCAAAGAAAACAAGAAAATACATAGGCTCTTTTTCTTCCATCAGATGGCTTTTTAAAAATGTGCCACGTGTGGGTGTTTGAAATCAATGTTTTAAGAGTTATAGAATGAAGAAAAGCTTCACAATTCTACACACATCAGTGAACTGCAATCTATACCCAGCTATTCACACACCCCCAGCATCTCATTTCTTTCTTTCTTTCACTCTTTTTTTAAACTAATCCCTATTTGCCACCTCCCAGAAATATGGCCAAGACTATTCGATAAAGGCAGGAATAAGAAGGTGGCAACTTGTTGTAAAGAAGGTGGGAACCTGTTCCCAGCTCCCCTATGACACCCATGCTAATCATTCACTAGGTTCCAGGTCTTGATGGACAGTTCACTTAGGTGACTCCGTTTTTCACTGCTGACCCCTCTGGATCTTTTGAGTCCACCTGTATTTTCAGTGCAAAGGAAGAGAGGAACTCAAGAACATATGGTGAATGCTCCTTGACTGCTTTCAACTGGGTACAGCTTGGAGACTCAGTATGCTCAGCAAACAGCTGGCCTCAAAACCAGGGTGGCTTTACTCAGAAAGCTGAAAGTCTCAGAAAGCTAAAGAAACCAGTCTGGATGCCTACTGTCCTCTTGGGATTTCTGCATTCTACTGATAAGCGTTAGATACAATGAGAAATTGCTAGTTCAGACAACCACTAACTTCTCTCCCTTGTTCTCAGTTCTGTCTTCCTCTCACCCCCTCTTCTCCATCCATCATCATTACAGTCACTTCCTGCCATTGTGTGAGTCCACCCTACAGAGGGAAGTTAGGAAACCGGAAGTAGGCAGCAAGGGAATTGAAATTAGACTCACACAGCAGTTTCCAAGCAGGACCATGTTAAATAAACCAGTGTGCTTGTGCAGGTAATTTTGCTTAGCTCCTTCTGATATTTACTTCTGGTCACTGCTTTGGACTGGGCAGGACTCTTTCTATTTCTGCTGGTGAACAGGATGTTTATAGTGATAAGAATACCAACATTTCCTGGCCTCAACTTCAATTTCCTCTTCCTGCCTTCATTGCCCCTCTTTTTGATGGTAACACTTGAGACCCTTTCCTTCCCTTCAGGGCTCAACACTTAATTTTATAACGGAAAGTCCAGGAATATGGTGTATTTTAGGCAATGTATATTTTACCACCCTTGAAAGAAAATCCAAAAGTAAAACATGATCAGAAGCCAAGGCAGGTAAGTGGCAGCAGGAAGAGGGCTTACCTCAGTGCTCTCCTCATCGCTGGGCACACTATCGGTAGTTTCACTTTCTGTTGACAGAGAGAAAAACACATAGTTCCTGTCACTCATACAAGCTATTCTGGGGCTCAGGCAGCATTTCAAAAGATATATCAGTACTTACTGATCAAAAAAGAAATGGGTCATCGTTATGGTTTGTGACTAGAGGGCCACCCAAAGCCTCATACAGTCATGGGGCAGGCTTCTAGAATTTGTGATTGACTCGTGGTCCAATGCTGGAATTATGGGAGTGAGTGCTACATTCACCCTACAGGGGATGGCCTGCATACAATATAAAGGATAGAAAGAGTCTTCTCACATACTCCCCCCCCCCCACCCTTTTGCTCTTGTTGCTTTTGCTGTCTTCATCAAGAATGGCTGCCCATCTGCCATGCCACCCTGCCTTGGAGGCAGCTGATTGCAGACTGAAGCCACCACAAACTGTGAGCTAAATAAACCTTTTCTCTTTTAACTTTAGGTGTCTGGTATTTTGTCCCAGCAATGAGAGAAAGTAACCAACACAGAATTTGGTCCCAGTGGCGTGGAGTTATTGCTGTAACTATATCTGACCATGTGGTTCAAGAGCCTTGGGAAACGGTTTATAGGAAGAGTTTGGAAAGATGCAGAGATGTTGCCTAAGGAGTAGAGCTGGAACACCTGAGGCTGTTTTATATGGGAGATTCTAGTTAGTGCTCAGAAGACCAGCAAACCAGTAAAGATCAGGTTCTGGAGGTTTCTGCTGGGAAGGATTCCAGATGATGTGTGTTACGGTTTGTGAGAAAGTTTGCCTATATTTTGTTCCTATCCAGAGAGTTTGCCTGAAACTGAGATTAAGGGTGTCAAACTAATTGATCTGGCAGAAGAAATTTCAAGGCAGTCAAATATTGAGGTGGTGGATGGTTATTCGTTGGAGGCTTTTAGCCAGATTTATATTGCAAATCAAAAGCAAAGAGCCAGCAGGATGATATAAAACACTGTGAGTTTGGCCAGAAAAGAAGTTCCAGTAAAGCTGTGGACTGTAAAGGCAGAACTGAGATCTTCATTGCTGAGAAGGAATAGAATAGAAAAGATGGCATCATAGGAAGTGGCATGTCTCTACCCTTTGCAGCCTAAAAACTGCAAAACTGAAAGACTTTGCTTTGAGGAGAATGCTATTTTCCAGAATGGTGGTGGCACAAAGAATCTGTTCCTCACAATCAAGTTTAGAGTGCCCAGCAATCCAGACATGCAACCCCTAAAGCCCAGAAAGAGAAAAGCCTGGCTACTGCTTCAGTTGGCAGCAGACCTCAACATCATCTATGTGGTGCTGGTTATAATCACATACAGAATGCATGAGTTCTGAGGTTTAAAAGACTTCCATTCCAATTTCAGAAGGCCTGGAAGCTAAGCAGTGTGCCCCTGAGAGGTGGTATCTGAAGCTGTGATTGTAAAGCCAAAGGTACAGTGGAGATCCCAGAAGTTTGGAAAAGCTAGGAATGTGGGTTCTCTGAGGAAACCTGCAAAGAGGGAGCAAAGCTAGCCCAAGGAAGCATCTGTAGGAGAAACAATCACCAGACGTGTTGTTGGGGTGGAATCACTCAAGTCTTTTGGAGTTCACAACTAGATTGCTTTAGATGCTGAATGTAGATTTAATGTTTGCCCTGCTGGATTATGGACTTGCCTTTGTCCCAATCTTTTATATCCCCATTTGTACCCTTTGGAATGGTAATGTTTATCTTGTGCCACTGAATGCTAGAAGTGTTTAACATTTCATTTGTATAGGGGCTCACAGCTAAGAGTGTACCTTAGATCTTGGAGGAGACTTGGGACTTGGACTTTTCAGCAATGCTGAAACTGTTAGGACTTTGGCAACTCTTGGAGATGCACTAACGTATTTTGCATGAAGTGTGTGCATGAGTCTTTGGGGGACCAGAGAGTGGAGTGTTATAGTTTGTGTTTGGATGTCCCCTTCTTATCTTGTATTCATGGGGGTAAGGGAGTAACCCTTTTGAATGCTGCTAAATCTAGCATTTGGGATTAATTTGTTGTCTAGCACTAGGATTGGAGGTGTGAGTGTTGTACCCACCTAGGATCGGGTAACCGGCATACAACATGCTTTTCCCTTTTGCCCTTTTGCTGTTGTCATCTGTGGCAACTGCCACAGCTGCCATGAATGGTTGACCGTCCCTACCTTGGAGCCAGTTGAGTATGCACAGAAACCTCCAGAAACTATAAGCTAAGTAAACCTTCCTTCCTTCATTTTTGTTATCAAGTATTTTGTCTCAGCAACAAGAGAAAAGTAACCATGACAGAATTTGAGATTCCAAAAGTGATATGAGAAAAAGGATAAAAGCAAAACATGCCTCCTTCCCTTCCTTATATTGTATGCCACAGTTGGGCAGGTACAGCACTCACACTGCCAATCCCATCACTAGATAATGAACCAATCACAAAAGCTAAATTCAGCTGCCTTTGAAAGGTCTACCCCATGACTACATGAGGCTTTCGGGGACATCCAAACACAAACCATAACAGTGACTAAACTCATCTCCCTCCATTTATAAGGTCAAACATTTCATGTGGAAGACACTAAATATTTTAATTCTCTCGTTTCCTGCCCCTACCCCAGGATGAAGCAAGCTTAAGAGTCAAGGGGAGCTGACTTTCCAATGACCAGGCTGTGTTTATACAGTCACCACCTCCCACCATGGGACACTGTCCCTGTAGCATCTTTCCTGCCCTGCAGCTCTATTCATGGAGCCCCACACCTGTCCTCTTCCAGTGATGAATGACAGTTCATCACATGGACCTCTTCCCAGGGCATTCCCATCTCCCCAGATCTTCCTTTCACCTCTTATCTTGTAAGACTTTTGTCTTAGATTTCTAGTTTCATCTCCCATCTGGGTTATTGAGGGTAGACAGATTCCAGGGTGGCACCCAGACCTACATCTAATGTTTGCTTTCTTTTGAACTTCGCATCAGCTACATTCCCTTTTCTAAATTTTATTTTTTATTTTGAAATTAGTTTTCATTCAGTTGCTAAATTGCCCAAGCTGGATTTGAACTTGAAATTCTCCTGCCTAAACCTCTTAAAAGTGCTGGGATTACAGGTGTGCATGAGCACCTTCAGTTTGGGATCTCTTCTTGAGTCTGTATAGAAATTGTGACTTGTTTTTAATAACCAGCAGAATACAGCAAAGACGATGGGATGCACATTAAGTTCTTGATCATGTCACATAAGACAGAACCTGTCTCTTGAAGCTGGCTCACATAGCAAAGAACCTAAGGACTGTTTCTGGACAAAAGCCAGCAAGAAACTGAGGACCCTGAGTCAACAATCTGCCAGAAACTAAATTCTGAAAAAAATGACAGAGGCTTGGAACTGGACTTTTTTCCATTTGAGCCACAAATGAAATGACAGCCCTAACCAACAAGGCACTGCAGGTCAGCAAGACTGCTGGACAGGATACAATGAAGCCTGGACTTCTGACCCATCGAAACTAAGGAAGAAGAAATGTTGTGTTAAGCTACTAAGTTCGTGACTGTATTGTTAAGTATCAATAGATAATCAGCGACCATCCTGATTCCATTCCCCAGTTGTCAGTCACAGAGCAAGTTTCTTTACTGATCTCATTTACTCATCTGAAAAAATGGGAGTATCACTTATCCCCTTGAAAAAGAGGACTGGGGGCTGGGGATTTTGCTCAGCGGCATAAGCGCCTGCCTTGAAAGCAGGCAGTCGTGAGTTCGATCCCTGATACCGATAGAAACAAAAATGCCAAAGGAAAAAAAAAAAAAAGAAAGAAAAAGAGGACTGACTAGGTGATAACTAATTACATGGGTGTTTGGGAAAGGTCCAGCACAGGGCCTGGCATCCAGCACACATACAAATAATCAGCGTTGTTCAACACTTGATTTGCATAACAGGCTGCATTAACATAGTCAAATTCAACAGCTAATGATCACACATCACCTGCACATATAATACAAGTATTCAAAAGATTTTCAGGATTTGCAGTCATTACAAAATAAATGCATTGAGTTTAGAAATTCCAAAATCTACAGGCTCTTAAGGATCATTTCACTTGGGCCATTTATTCTAGAGCAAGGCTGAAAGAAGAATGGTAAGTAAACATTCATGGAAGCCCTAACAAACCAGGCTAGGCCACAGTCCTGCAGGCAGCTCTTGTTCAGTCCCCACCAGGAGGCTAAATTGGAAAGCAGTTACCGCCATTACCCAATGTAGAAACACTAGTGTGTTCTACAGTGCTCTACCTTCTTTCATCCTATGACTACTGAGTACTGGCCCCCAGGCTCCCCTCTTCCTGGTGGCAGAAGTGTGTAGGATTAGTGCTCCACCCCAAAGAGCACCACCTTCTATCACCCAGAGTACTAATTTCACACCAGGTGCCCTATAAATTAAGGCTAAAGAACAAACGGACAAATAACATCACAGGTGCATTCCATACGCAAACAGCAAGCACATGGACTCCACAGCTTCCACCCAGGAGCGCTCTGCATGCTGCTCAGCCACTATTCAGAGCTTCACACAAACCTGAGTGGTTATCAAGGGCTGACCGTGGGCAGCGAAAGGACAAGCCATGTACTCCTCAGACCAAGTGTGCCTCCCACAAGCACCGCGAGTCAGGAGTAACAGATGCCCAGAGAAGGCCACAGCCTCAGCTCACAGTGATCTTAGCTACAAAGACAAACTGACAACATGAGGCACAAGAAATGTCTCTCGACAGAAACAAAAGAAGAACAACAAAAAGGAAACCTCTCTCCAAACATAACCCCCACACTGGCTCAGTCCCCAGAGGAGGCAGGACCGCCGCTCCCAAGAAGAAAAATGAGGAACAGAGATGTTGAGAAATTTGCCAAAGTCGCAGACTGAGTCAGCACGGTAGAGAGAAAACAAAACTGCACTTCTGATTCCAGGGACCCATACCAAATACAGGCACTCTGCTTCTCTGCTGGCTCTGCCTCTGATGAAACTTCAAGATCCTCTTTTCATTTTTATGCCTTGCTTTGTTTGCGTTCTAAAGCTCAGGTTTCTCTTCCTTCTACACATGCCAAACCCCTTCATTCCTAATGATACTTCTTAAATACCATGGTCTTCTGTTCCTTTCTGTTTCACATAAAAACAAACAAACTAGGCATGCTTTGGGGGCTGAAGATTTGAATAAATGAACCATTGACACCACAGTTCTGGGACTTCACCAAGTCCAATTTGCAGCTGCTGAAAGATTTGGAAGTCAGACCTTACTCCTTAGCGAGACCTTGCAAAAAGATCAGGAATATGAGCAGAATGTTAATATCCTGAAACCACCCAGTTTTCAACTTCAGGGAGAAAAAGTTGTGGATAAGAAAAGATATATATTCTGAACTTATACTGTTGGCCGACACAAGTGGTGAGGAGTGAGGAGCACCATTTCTAAATTAAAATCAAGTGCTTCTGAAAAGTTACAAAGATTCTCCACATTTGCAAACTGTTATGGGTCCTCAAACAAAGGGTCATGTGTTGAAGACATGGCGGCCAGTCTGGGGTGGTACTGCTGGGTGGAGGGAAGGTAGCAGTTTTGGAGGTGAGGCCTACTAAAGAAAGACCACTGGGAATGTTTCCCAGCAGGAGACTTTGGGACCTTTGTCCCTCTTTTCTGTCTTCTACTTCCCAACCAGGAGTCATGACGGGAGTAGCTCTGTTCCATTACACACACTCTATCATGATGTTCCGCCCTGTCATGGGCTCAACATGTATGGCCAAGTGATCGTGAACTGAAGCCATGAGCCAAAATATATTTTTCTTCATTCTAAGTTGTTACAAAGCTGACTAACACAGTTAAGTTTTCTAGTTTAAAAAGAAACAGGCTTGAGTGGCTTCAGCCTAAGAGACAGATGCCTGTGGCTCCAGTCCAAGAATCCCAGACTCTCGCTTCCAGACTAACAATGATTTTCATGGCTGCTCCTGAATGGTGGGCTCAAAGTGCCCCCATTTCCTGTTTTCCTGGTTTTCCTTCACTACTGCCATTTCCAAAGTGATTCTTATATGACAAATGAGTTCACTGCAGCTGCTGCTTCTAGATCATTGTTGAAACACTGCTGAAACACTGCCATGAGTATTTGTTTCATTTTCCCTTTTAATTAGTCTTTTTTTTTTTTTTTAACTAACTTTAAACACAATAGAATAAAAAACATGGAGCACCTCACAGGCATGGTCTGAGTAAGTCGAAAGTGTTGACACAGCGGTAATAGGTATCTGTGGAATTCATTTAACCTTTCTGGTCTGTTTCCAGAAGGCCATCAGGATGAGAAGGAAATGAGCCATTTGCATCAGGTGACCTCAAAGGTTCTCTTACAATAGCACCTCTGCTGGTCTTAGCTTCACAATCCACTGCAGTCCAGTTTTTAACCCTCCCTGAGAACTATTTTGGGAAAGGAGATGATACAGTTTATGGAATGCATTTTTTATAGTAAACCTATCTACATTTACTGAAAGGCTTCTGTTCAACAAAAGAAGACAAGAATTTATTTTTATCAAAAAGTTCTAATTTACTTCACTAGATGATTCCACTGAACAGTTCACAGCAGACTCCTCCTAGACTGAAACCTAATATATTTTTGCCCCACCCAACAACCTGATATGGTTTGCATAGTGATGCAAAGTTCTCACTGGTCAATAAATTCCATTCTCTCTATTATAACTAGTTAATCCTTTGTATTATATTTCCTGTACCCAGAAGTTTGGTTTCCACCTTCTCTCCTTCCAAATGTTCTTGTGATTATCTTTTACTAAAACATCAACAACCTAATCAAATCAGAGTACCACAGATCAGGCAAGGGGCCACTTCAAGGTATACCTTCCAAAATAAAATGAGGGCTGGCAGTGTGGCTCTTTGGTAGAACGCTTGCCTAGCACGCACTGGATTCTGGGTTGGACCCTCAGAACTATAAATAGAACTTTAAAAATGAGTACCCGCCCCCCGGAGTTTCCCTTATAGGACTTTGGAGCATTCTTCTCCAGTATAAAAATTTTACAAATCAAATCAAAATTATATGGGGCTCAGCAGCATAAGCACCTGCCTTGCAAGCAGGCAGTCGTTAGTTCAATCCCCGGTACCGATAAAAAGGAAAAAGACAAAAAAAAAAAAATTAAATCAAAATTACATATGGCCTTTAAAAATACCCAGTACATGTATTTTCACTCAAAGAAACTGTTGTCATCACCATGATATTTAACCACAGAAGAGAAGACAGATTTGCAAAATTCCATGTGCATCTGTGATACTACTGGGATTAAATTTCAATGATCAGTAGGGAAAAAAAAATAGTAGACAACAGTTTCCTAAACAGGTGAATGAAGGTGATTAGACAAGGCTGAACTTCGGTTTAAATAGCCTGAACAAAGTAAGTCTGTTAGGAAAAACAGGCAAATAGTCTATTCAATTGGTGAACACAAAGAAAGGTGAGCACAGAAAGCTGCCCTACCTACCAGAATGCTATAAATTCCTGACCAAAAGACCAACTGGTCATGGTCAGTAACCTCAAATTTTCTTCTGTGCCTGTAAATTCTTGAAAAATAGCAGAAATAGAAATATTTTGGCTGTATCCTTTAAGACACTCTAAAAAAGATACTGGAGAATTCAGACAGTGAAATCAATGGAATGAACCAAAGGCCAGGCTCTAACAAAGCCTCCTGTCACCTTTCTTCCTGGCACTGAATCTTTCTTTAGAAATCCATGCAAATATCCTGAAAGGGGGGACGAAATTTTTATTTCTTTCTACATCAATCAGTTGTCCACAGGATTCTTCTCCTAAAGCAAATGCCACTACAGCAAAAGGAGATCTTCCAGAATCTTCAAGAAGACTTAAGTCTTAACAGATAAACATGTTAGGCGGGTCTAAAGCTCCACCCCCGTCCCCCCCCCCCACACCCTGAGTGTAGAAATGCCAGCAGCAACACGGCATAGAAGACAGCATGAGTTTTTAAGCCATAGCTATGTAAGTACAAGCAAGCTTCAAGGTTCTGTGATCTCTACTGTAAAATTAGGGCATAAACACTTGGCTCCACCTCCTTTGGTGGGCTCTTCCCTAGACAGGCTTTATCCATGTCGGCCTTACATTTCTGCTTTTAAAAAGAATATAAGGATGGTATCCTGGCTGGGAAGATTATTCTCTTGATAAATAAGCAAGTTAATCAAGACCAAGCATTTAGCATAATTCTCAGAGCATAGTAAACTGAATCTGCATGTAATAAATAAGATAGTTACTGGAAACTGGCTAAGACTGGAAAAAGACTGGCATGTATAAGAGTTCACGATGTATATGATGAATGAACAACTGATGAAAAGCTTATCCTGACTGACAGATTGTAAACTTCCTGCAGCCAAGATGTTTTCTCATAGTCCTTTTATGTTCCTAACAGCAAGTTAGGATGCATGGGAAGTGAAGTCAGACCTATTTAGAGTAGCCAGAGCCACTGAGACAGAAATGGTTGCCAAGGCTGGGGCAGAGGAGGGAAATGGGGAGTTACTGTTTACTGGGTACAGAGTTTCAGTTTTGCAAGACAATAGTTCTGGGGACGGTTGTGAGGATGATTGTACAACACAAAAGGCACTGAATTTGCATTTTAAAGTGGCAAATATTATTACAGGTATTTTACCACAAATTAAAAAATGCATTTAAAAAACAGTTGGTGTTCAGGGTATGAGGTTAACCTAGTGGCTGGCAATTTACACATAAACACTTATCTGCATCTCCTCTTACTGTCAGGCCAACACAGGCCTCGGCTGGAGCACGGTCTGTGTGGCCCCCTGTAAGAACACTGGGCAGGATCCCTGAGCCTCTGACTGGAGCTCATTGTAGTTTTCCATGACACGGGCTCTATGTTTTATTTTTAATATTTACAGGCAATAACTCTGAGTCAGAAATACTTACATTTCCTAATTATGATGGAGTTCCAAAAAAATTAAGTGGAGATTACCGGGAAAAGAGTGTAAGATGATGTAATGCTGGGGGAAAAAGGAGTCGTTATTTCCCGAATCTGTTTCTAACCCTGTGACTCTGTCTGGACCAATTCCTGCAATTGTGGGCACAATCCCCTAGGGAATTAGAAAGAGGCTCAGTCGCAGTCTGAAGTCGTACTAAAGAGAAAGAAAGTGAGACGATATGTGGACGTGACAAGTAAATCTAGTAGAATGGAACGGATTTGGCACTGACTGAAAGTTGCAGTTGGGTTCGAATCTTGGCTCACGCACTGGCTGTGAGATCTACAGCAAGTCCTTCCACTCCCCAAAATAAAGACCCTGAGTAGAAGAGATGATTTCTAAGACTCCATCCAGCCGGACAAACTTGGGATTCCACTAAAACACTCTGCAGATGTCTTATATGAATAAATTATGCTCTAATCAACCACTTTCCTCATGAAATCCTATTCATTAGCTATGAATGAACATGTTATGGGCAATGAAGTAAAGAAATGCTATGATTATATCTTGGTCAAGAAAAGAAAAGTAAATAACACTAACAAGAATAATTCCTAGGACAGAAGAGAGATTCTTTGTTGTGCAGTGATACCAGATGACACTACAGCCCTTACCAGTTCCCCATTTGGTCCCCATGGTCCCCTCCTGCCCACTTACCTGCATAAGAAGACACAGGGGAAATCTGCAGGGGGTAGAGCTCACTCATGCTGACCGGCTGCTCATCGCTCTCAGTGGTCACCTCCACAACTTGGCAAATGTCTGGCGGATTAGTGACAATCTCTTGATCCTCAATGTTGCTGTCCAGGTGAGACTGTCCTACAACTTCAAAGAAAAGAAAGCCATCATGCACCAAAATCTTCCCACTTGAGTTTCCAGGATATACTTTCAAGAAAGAAAAAAATCTCCAACACAGACAGATTTTATTCCTGGCTACCACACGTCGCCTGCCAGGAATTTGGAAAACAAACCTGAGTTCTGAGTGAATGTCTCTAGAGAAACAGCGTGCAGTAACTGGGCTCCTGAAGTCTGTCCCTAGGATGTCTGCAGTAATGTGTCCTGGTGGCAGTGTTCTGTCCAGTGCAGCAGAGTCCCAAACTCAAGGCAGTTATAGTCAAGGTTATTGGCTGCATCCAGACCTAGCCCCAGGCCTGATGTGGCAGTGCTTTGAATCTGACCTATTTCTGTTCTCTGCTCTTGCTCTGAAAGAAGATGCTGTGCTCATTTTCTGAGTTCTATGGTCTAGAGCGACATTACGGAACCTTAATGAGGAGGAAAAATCACAAAAAAGCTACATGGTTATGTTATTTTCAGCAGTCCCAGACGTCTTCCTGCTCAGAGTATGACTAAGTGGCCAAAATATCAGAACAATGAGAGTCAGGTTTCCAATTCTAACACATATTAATAGCATTAACTCCCCAGAACACAGATAAAATGAATTCTCATTTTGACTTTGAATCAGCTTCAAGATTAATTAAACTTTTTATTTTGAGATAACTATGAATTCGCATACAGTTACAAGAAATTACAGAGAGATTCTGTGCGCCCTTTTAGTCAGTTTTATCCCGTGATAACATCATATAGCCAGCCAGGCATGGTGGCACACGCCTGTAATCCCAGCACTTGGGAGGCTGGGGCAGGAGGATCACCATGAGCTTGAGGCCAGCCTGGGCTACATAAGCGAGTTCGAGGCCAGCCTGCACTATGTAATGAAACTGTGTCTCAAAAATGAAACAAAACAAAAAAACAAAACATCTTCCAAAACCTGAGTCTAATATCAAAATCAGAATATTGATATTGATAAAAATTCATCTTAATTTCCTCGGTTTTACTGGTTTTTCTTTACGTGTGTATGTGCACGAGTGAACTTAGTTCTATCCAATTTTGTCACATAAGTAGTTTCATCTACCTACCACCACCGTCAAAACACTAAAGAGTTCCACCCACCAAGAACCTCGAGAGTTACTCTTTTGTAACCACATCCATCTTCCTTAGTCCTCATCCACCCCCTTGTCCCTAATCCCTGCCAACCATTAATCTGTTCCCTGTTCTATAATTTTTATCATTTCCAGGATGTTGCATTCATAGACTAACACAGTAACTCATTGGCTTTTTGAACCCTGAATAATTCTCTGGAGAGTCATCCAAGTTGTTGAATGTTTCAAAAGTTAGTTCTTTTTTATGGCTGAGTGGTATTCCATGATATGGATATATTTTCCCACTGAAAGAATTATGGATTGGCACCAGTCTGGCTATTACAAACAAGGCTGCTATGTAAGTCTGTTCGTGCTGTATTGAACGTAAGTTTCCATTTCTCTAGGACACAGGCCCAAGAGTACAACAGCTGGCTAATAGGGGAATTGCATGTTCAGTTTTATAAGAAACCACCACCAAACTGTTCCCCAGTGGCCCCATCAGTTCATATTCTTACCAGCAAAGTCTGACTTATCTATTTTCTCTGTGTCTTCACAAGTACTTGTTACTGTCACTGTTTTTGTTTCTGTTTTAGCCATTCTGATAGGTAAGCAATGACAGTCCATTGTGTTTTGAATTTGCCCTGTCCTAATTTTAAATGGACCTGACTCACTGCTGCTGGCAGACCAGTGCATGAAATGTCCCTGAAAATGGCTCCAATGAACAAAAGAAGGTAAGATGCTAATAACAATGTTTTCCCAGGTTCTCAATCACTGCCACTATTACCAATACTAGATTTGCACAGGTGTAAGTTATTATCACTTCTCAGCCCATGAAAATGACCAGGAAAGTAACAGGGCCCTGTTATTTATAGAGAAACTTGGGTACGGCCTGGTCGAGTGACCAGGCCAAACTGCTTGGATGCTATGCAGTGCTCTATGTTCCTCTCCTGTTCTTTCCTTCTGCAGCTACAGGATGTTGAGGTGAGGCAGGAGACCATGTTCCAGGCTCCATGAGAAGTCAGTTGTAGTGGACGGGCCTTGCTCCAACCACTTAAAGTATTCCACTGGCTGAAGTATTTTTGTTTGTGAAGAAGTTCTGCTGTCAATGCTTGAGAGGGAGGGATGAAAATGATACTTGATTTCTACACAGGAAAGGTTGCAGAGGGTAGGAGGGATTCAGATGTTCATTAACAAGGAAAGGAAGGGACAGAGGAAGCTGGAAAAGAGGACTAGGGTGTCATAACAGAGTCTACAAAGCCACAGCACAGAAGGGAGAGAGAAACTGGATGCTACTTAGGTTTTCTTGGCAGGGGTATAACTCCAGAAGAGGCAGGCAGGTTATACATGGCAGGTGGACCCCCAAGTCCTTATTTCGTCTTTCGCACCATCGTATTAGAGTGTGAGAGCATCAATTATGCAGCTCACTGGACTTGGACCGAGTGCTGATATTAATCTCCCTTAGGATTCTTCAGCTTTTTCTCCCTATTAAATAACACAGCAGGAAAACAAAGTCCGATCTTACTCCAAGTGTGTGTGTGTGTCGGGGGGGGGGGGTGTGTCTGTCTGTCTGTCTGTGTGCATGTCTGTTTGTAGGAAGGGAGGGAGGGACAAAATAAAACCTGGACATTTAGGCAGCTAGGATCTTACATACATGTGACTTCAGTCAAAGCCACTTTAACGTGCAGTGCTCCGAAATGCCTTTCTTCTTCACATCATCCCTCTTTACAGAGACAAGCCAGTCACAACTAAGAACAATGGCTGCAGCTCAAGTATCTTCCCAATTCCGTCCTGCTGTTCTGACTAACAATTCCTTCTCTGTGCACTTTTTTCCTCAATGCCCAACGCAGTTATTCACCAACAAAGATTTGCAGAGCACCAGCTTGGCACAGACATTGTTAGCCAGCGAACACTAGGGGGGGCTGGGAAAGATCGAGGAGACCAGGCTGAGTTTATAAGAAACCTAGTGGGTGACAGGCGCGCACACAATCATCTAGAGGGCATGTTTAAGGCAGTGAATAGGCTTCTATGAGGCAGCCCCATTAGGCTGGAGGTTGGGCCATGGGCAGGACTCAGAATGGCCCCAGCTCCTGGAGCCCTCCTGACCCTTCCAGCGCAGACTGACCTCTCTTTCTGGGGAGCGCCTCTCACTCCCTGTCCTTGGAGCTCAGCCCAAACTACAACGGAAAACAATCTTGTGGCATTTCCTGGCTTTCTGCCTCAGAAAGCAACCCTGTTGCTAGTTAACTCTACATAACCTTATTTGTATTTATTGTATCTTGTCAAAGGAATGGCCACTTCTCTCCATCTGAACATTGAGAGCACTTTAGAAACTTTCCAACTTTCAAATCAAAGCCTACAAGAGAAGCAGAGAGAGATCATCTGAGAGGTGCTTCCACACTGTTACTCATCTGTCTCTGTGTGTGACACTCTTCTGGGTGCTGGACAGTAATCTGACCGACAAACAATAACAACAAAATCTAACTTTCTTTCTTTCTTTTCTCTTCTCTCTCTTTTTAACACATACCTTTGTTTTCCCCTAACCCTTCCCCCTCAAAAGCCCCTTCCAGCCCTAGGAGGAAGGCACAACTATGCTCCCTGTTTCAGACACAATTCCAGTTTGGCAGAATCAGGATTCAAACTCAGCTTTACCTGACCCCAAATTTCAAATCTTTTGTGACACAGTCTCCATAATACAGAAGTTAATGAAATTCAAACTGAGCAACACTTGGCTTTCTAAGCACCTCTCAGGATAAAATCTTTCAGATCTCACCTTCATGAATCTTTGGGTTCATAACCGACAGTGAAATTTTCTTTCAATAGTTCTCTGTTGGATGCCAAGGAAATTCTCAAATGGCTAGCTGAGTTAGGAATCCACCCCGTACCTCCAGCTTAGTAAGGTCAGCACATCATGAAAGTTTGCCCACAGAAGTATAATGTTATCTGAAGCTAGTTATTGAAAACTGAAATATTATTCATGGCTGGTTACTGCTGGACCAGTCTGTTTGCTTCAAAGGTCATTCTTCTCTTATTAAGAGTTGTTGACTGCGTAGGGCTCCACCTGAGAAAGCACGTTGCTTCTATGCTCAAAGAAAGTACTTCTAAGCGGAGACTGTGAGGTGCCCTGGACTGTCACACTATAGCTGAAAAGAGGGACCCTAGAGGCAAATTACAAAGGCCACCCAAGTGGCTGCAAGATCAAGAAGTAAATCTACTATCAGGGCATACAAAATCAGACCATCAACTTCAAACCACGGGGAGAAATTTCCCCTTGACCCTGAGAATTTAGGTATTGAAACTGTTAATACCAGGCCTGATAGTGCAACTTAGGTAGAGGCTCTGTTCCTATTCACATATACTTTGATTTTGATAGTAGACCCATAACCACATGATTTTACCAGCTTCTAAACAAAGAACAACTTATATTTGCTTTGATCCTCACAATAACTCTGTGAGGCAGGAAGGATCAGTTTATTAATTCAATTTTGTATATAATTCATAATTATAAATATGAAATTATGTTTACATATATAATTTATTTCTATTTTATAAACTATACATGAATTACTTCCAATTTATACATAGAGTATCAGAGAGATCAGGAAAGTTTGCCTAAGATCAGATGGGAAATGAAAGACTTTAGAAACCTCCAGAACCCAAGTTCTTTAACTTCTAATCTAGTGCTCTTATCTCTGTAAGAATAGCTGTGATTTACATTTTATAAAACACAGTCACTGTTAGTTTGGAGTGGTGGTGAGAGAGACAGCCATGACAGGGTCAGGAAGCTCAGCTACATGGAAAGGGGGCTCTCACGTGGCCAGCCACAGGCTCGCTGCACCACCCCAGGGTGCGGCAGGCAGGAAGAGGGGCTCCTGCAGTGGGGACAAGCCCGTTGGAAAACGGCATCATGTCTTGCACTGAATGAAGCCAAGCATGCGTTCCAGTAAACACGCAGTAGAGGTAGTCGGTTTCTCAGGGTCAGCGACCTGGAGTAGAGAGCTGGGTCAGATACCACGGGTCAGGTCTCACTTCTCAATAGAACTGCTGGAGCTCTGGTGGGTACTCCACTTTCTCAACAATTGGCCACCCTTGGGTTAGATTTTTCAGAATAATTAACTTTAAAAAGTTATAGAGCCAGGCGTGGTGATAGGCATCTATAATTGTGGCACTTGAGAGGCTGAGGAAGGAGGACCTCCATGAGTTTGAGGTCAGCCTTGGCTACAAAGCAAGTTCAAGGCCAGCCTGGACTATGTGGTGAAACTCTATTTACACACACACATACACACATGCATGCACACGCACACACACGCACACCCTAGGTATAAAACTGATAGACAGGAACCAAGCAACACTAGAAAGGAGGGGAATTGCCTTGAGGACAAAATGCTTATACCTCACATACAGTTTCATACTGCTAGGACTTTTTCAGGGGAGCCAGTATAATTGGATGCCTTGTCTCTGGCCTCTAGGACTAACGGGGAATAGTTTGGCCCTTCCAGAAGTCCCAGGGCACAGCTGTCAACCCACTGAAATGAGATGGACAACTCCCTTCAACAGAGTGCCTTCCCTTTAAAGATCCTCCCTTAAGCTAATTTTTGTTTTGTACAGGCAATTCCACATTTTAATTACCAGAAACATGTAGCACACCAGGGGACAATGGAAATAGGAACAGATACCTCAACAGCCTGGTATTATCCTTCAAACTAGATCAGTTATGATGGCAGAGGGTGCCATCATCATTGGATTCTGTGAGACCTCATGGGGGTCCCCTAGCTCTCTCAGTTGTGAATTTTTTCTCTCACACTTTCAATCTCTTCTGTTGATACCACGGTTTCCAGGCTGGGTTAACAAAGCTGCTTGAATTTCACTTTAGAAAAAGTCAAGTTGGAAGCTACCACCGGAAAAGAATGTCCCCTAAGCTGCACCTTGGGCAGCCAAAACAAAGACAAAATCCAAAATATCTTACTTCCTACTGGAAGTGTGTCCATTCACTTCAGCTGGCGTTATGGACCTCAGTGTGATGAATAGTCTCCCCTGTTCCAAGCAATCTTTGCTCTATTGCAGGGTGGGGTAACCTTTTATCTAGAAACACAATGGGTCTATAAAGTACTGTTTGGCCAGTCATACAGAAGGTCCACACCTGCAGCCTTCTCCCACTGGCCTGAGATCATTTCCATAAAGCTCAGTAAAGGGCCGTTACCCCAGGCGAGGGGCCAGCGAGAAACATGTTATTTGACAGTTGCTGGCATCTTCCATTTCCTAAATACAGAAGCCACCTCACATACAGCAAAAACTCAGTATTAAAGAAAACTAAAAATAAAAATAAAGAGGTTTTCTCCGCCCCCTATTCTTAAAGGGAAAACAAAGATAGGTCCTTTGGATGCTAAACATGGATACATAAGCATACAGGAGCTTGGGAACCTCAGATGTTTCTGTAAGGAGGCATCGCACACTTTAGGGGTGCGCAGTTGGCTGAGTCCAAAAGTACATCCAGCTGTTAATGGAGAAGGCAGCAAGGACAGGACGCAGCCCTCTGGTGTGTGTGCGTGTGTGTGTGTGTGTGTGTGCGTGTGCGTGTGTGTGTGTGTTCCTGATGTGTGGCAAGAAAAAAAGCAAAACATTGCAGCAATCAAACAAAAGTTCATTTGTCAAGGCAACAGTTCAGTTCACAGCTTGCACACAGTTATTTGCTTAGGAAAACAGCCACCACTGTCCAGAATTCAAATGTACCTGTGGCTAGCCTTGACTGAATTCCGGTATTGATTCCTAGTCCATTTCCCTAGCTGAAAATCTTCCAGACAACATTAAAAAAAAAAAAAAAGCTATCATGTTAAGTATGCATTTTAGCTCCTAATTTTAGTCCTATAAACATGCTCATCGAAGTAGGATGAAATCACCTCATGGCTTTCACATGAGACTCACACATAAAGCTGAAATAAAATATGGTTTTAGATACAAACGGCAAAAAGGGGGTGTCATTTTTAAACAAACCATTATGCAAGAAAAGGGAGACAGAGTGAGTATCTCAAATGCCACAGTAGCCTTGGGATTTGAATCCCATGTTTATCCAAAAATCACATGAACTAAATGGCTCATTAATAATCAAGCAGGAGCCACTGGGCAAAGGCTCTGTTCAGGATTCAAAGCTGGAGACAGCACAACAACCACATATTACCTTTCTCTTTATAATACTTTATAGATGTATTTCACGCATACACCATCAGGCCACCAATGAATGGAAAGTTATATTCAAGCACATTTTGCGTCTAGTTATTATTAATTTATTATTAGGACCAGAAAAACAATCATTTTCTCCAGTTATTATCTAACCAAACCTGGCCATTTTGTCTAAGAAGAAAGTACTGACTCACTGAACTCATACCAGCCTTGAGTAACATCAAGCCCTGTGAAAGGGGGGAGGGGGAGCACTCTGATATAGAAATTACATACTGAAAGCTCAACCTAAATGATCTTTAAAAAGGGGGAGACAGAGTAGAACTGGAGGACCTTATACAAAGACAACTACAGCTTGATTTCACCCATATGTAAATCTAAGGGAGACAGAACAGAGGTCGTTCTGGAGGCTGGGACTAGGGAAGACGGCTGGGGAACGGGAAAGTATTTGATCAGAAGGGTTCAGAGGCACCCACACACTGAGGGAATAAGTTTTAGCGATCTGTTGTGTATTTAATGGTCTTTTGTTAACAATTATGTACATTTCAAAATTGTTAAAAGAGTAAATTTTTTAAAACGTTTCTAACGCTCAAAGAATATGGTGAGATGACAGATATGTGTGGATTATGGTCAATGAATCTTTCTGTAATGAACACATAGATCAAAACATGACACTGAATCCCATAAACAAATAATTCTTATTTACCCATTAAAGATAAGCAAATGACATGCAGGTAAGGAAGACCCCACTACTGCTCTCATTTTGGGCTGGCATATCATCTGAGTCCTATTTCACCACACACATGAAGAGGAACTCCCAAAACCAATCAGCCCACTCAAAACAAGCTGAGTCGGAAGAAAACGTGCTGGAGTTTGGCAAACAGCTTCCTTTTTTCAAGGGCTCATTGGGACATCCACGCACTTTCTAGGGACTAGGGTAAGCAAGGGAGAAACCGGAAGGGTGGTGACCTCACCAGAGGTGGTGAGAGGATGCATGGGCCAAGCAAAGAAGGTGCTCTGGAAGAGGAAAGTTGGCCTGTATGTCAGACAAGTCACCTCTCTCAGGGGGACTCCGTTCCCAGCTTCCTCCCCGAGAAGTGAGAAGAATACCTGGTCTCTGAGACAGATCTCAGCTCAAAGTTTTATAGTGGGGGCTGGGACAGGCCACATCTGCCTTATTTGATTCATCTCTCACATGTTTACACTCCCCCCACAAAGCCCCAGTGTGCAGAACGGTCCTGATATGTGATTCTACTTCCACAACTCCAAAATCAATGGCAAGGAAAGAATATGGATGTCCACACTTGCCGTGCGTTCTGGTTGTGTTCAAGTGAGATCCCAGAAGTAAAAGCATCCGGCCAGGATGCTTATTTTTACAGCACTTTGATGTCTCTGGTTCTTGTTAACATCAGAAGCCCTGACTGGAGCAAAGTTTCATGAACCAAAGGTACCCAGGGATCACAGAGCCTCTGGATTCTGGCTTCAAAGTTGAGCTAAAGTTCACCTCCAGGTCTCCGTCTTATGAAGGGTCCCCACCATCTGTTTATCATTGCTTCCCAGTGTGGATCTACGAAGGTGCACCTCACGGGCTTCCACCTCTTTGCTTAAAACCCACCAAGGGATGGTGTTTACAACGTGTACATGTGAATATCCAGGTACTTCAATTAACTTCTTTAACACATCCTCCAGTAATTTGAGATCAAACTCAACCTCCTACCCCGGGGCCTACAAATGCCTCTGTGACACCTCTAAGTACTTCTGACGTGGAAGTCATGCGACACCCTCATGTGTCTCGCCTGGCTTGCTATGCTATGTCACACTGACCTCCTCTCTGTTCCTCCATGTGTTCCCACCCAGGGTCCCCATGGGCATTGTGTCTGACCCCCACGCCATCTGCAACCCCCCAACAACCCACTTCCATAAATCCCCTGAGAACACTCAATCTAAATCTGGTTCTAGGTTATTTTCTCTCATTGGTCTATTCTCTTCTTTACTGTATTTCCCACAAATGGGAATGCTGTGGTTATTTGTGGGTTTGTTTACAGTCTACATCTGTAACTCCATGAAAATAGGAATTGGGCCTGTGTTGTTCCTCTATCTACTTCCTGTTCATAGTACTTAGTGGTGTGGGGACAGTGCTCAAAATTATCTGTTAAATCAGACTGTGCCCTTTGTCAACAAGGCTCTGTGCCTCAGTTTCTTGGCCTATGAAATGAGCACCACCTCTGTATCCGGGGCTACACAGAACAGTGGCCAAGAGGACTAATAAAAACACTTTTTTCCTCTCTTTGGTTCTCAAATTAAATTAATTACACCTGTGTTTATGACTAAATAGTGAAAGTTTAAGAACTGCTAACCATAAGCCACTGAGCGAAAAAAATATTTCTCTTGGAAGTCACTCTGTTCCTTAGGCTGACTTTTAAGTTGCTTTATGTGATCCTCAAGGTTCTCTGTTTTTCAGTCCTGAACTCTAGGGACTGGAACTCGGATTCTAAGATGGTTCCAAGACTTCTTCCTACTATTTTATTTCAAGATCTCTATTTTCCAAATTTTAGACCTTGGAGGGCTGCTTGTGTATATAAAAAATAAGATGTCAAAACAGTTTACCTATGATGTTCACCGTACTATCCACTTCATTTTTTATAGCTGAAGTCAGGACCGCATACTCGGGAGAAAGATCACTTACTCCATTACTAAGCCCCAAAGATGACTCAATTGGTTCTTGCTAGGAAGAAGAAAAGAAAAAAGAATTGAGAACACTTTCTTCCCCCTCGTTTTTCTTAGCTTAAATTCTACCCTTTGTCTATTTTCTATAACAATAGGATGATTTGTGTTCCTCTTACAAAGGCCTCCTCTACTTCTTTATTAGCACTGAGTGAAAGCAGCTCATTTCTGCACAAAGTGTGCTGCTGGATATTTGGTTTCTTTCATTTTCCTTCAAGGAAAAGATACCAGCACATCTGACTTGCCTTTAGGAAATGGTTCCAGCTGCAGACGATAGCGCTTAGGGGTGGGGGTACGCAAAGCTGCAGAACTCTCTTTACAAAACACTGCACTCCATAGAATCCAAGTCTTCCCTCCTTCTCAGAGGGAGGGCTTGGAAAGATCAACTCTTCTCTAAGGCAGGAGTCAGGCCATTACTTCTGCAATTACTTCTTAGAAAAAAAACTCTACCTCGACAACTACTCCAAGAACAAGAACCTAATGGAAACTGTGGGTGAATTCTCTTCAGATGTGGTTTGCCATGGGCTTGGGCCCCTTGATCGTGCTGCACTAGGTAGCTGGCTGGTAACACGGGCCATACTCCCTCTCTCTGGCCCAAGTCCAGGAGCTCAACCTCAGACCCATGGCTTTACATCAGTGTCCTTTAAGGGCCCAAATATCCCACCCAACCCAAAAGGCTACACATTCTTACTCCTGAAGAATAAATTATTTTCTCATTACAGCTCTGAATGTCTGCTTCATTCAAGTGCACTTGAACTTTCCACTCCCGTGGTACTGGCCAGCTCCCAGAAAGCCATTCCTAGGCACATTTCACTTTCAGCATTTTGAGAAGAGCATTTTTAAAAGGTAAGACTGCATTTGCTTCAAAGATAGCAATTAAGTCAGACAAAAGCCACACAGGACAATTTCTGAAGAATCCAAAACAAAGGAGAGGGTGGAGGGTTAGAAGAAACAAAGACTGGAAGCTGAGGATCATGGTGGTAGAAAAGACCATGCTTTGAAAAGTCAAGAGTAGTAGACAATGTAAGGCATGGTAAGTGTTCTTATCTATTTATACACTACTTAAAATCAACGCTAGCCCTCCGGGTCTTACAGAAAAGTTTCCTTACACAGGTAAGGAAGGGAAATATTCTCCCCCTTCATGATGCCATCTGGCAAACTTCCAGCAGGACAACTAGCTTCAGAATCATTACTTCACTGTTCAGCTCAGCCAAAAATAAATAAATCACATACTGCATGGTATACCAGAAGTAGCAAAGATTAGACATCAAGAAAGGCCCAGAGCAGTCTCACTGGATAGATTTTTTTCCTTTTTTCCCCCCTCCAATATCGTGTACATCTCTTTCTTTTCTTTTCTAATTTTGACCCTTCTAGAACAACACTCATGGCCTATGACCTGAGTTGTGATTTTTTCTCTTTATAGCCAACCTTCAAAACAAAGGTCTGGCTTTCTAACCTTACCTTCTCACCTGAACCCTTGTAAGTACTTATAGTTTCTCTTCCATTCCATTTGCAGAATTAATCTCCCAGAATGGTAGTAAGAACATGGGTTCTGGAATCAGCCAGACCAAAGGACAAAGCCTGGCTCTTCCACTTCTGAACAAGTATAGGACTTTATTTAACCTCTTTAAGCTTCTCTAAGGGCATTGTAGAGAATTATAAACTGAGGGTAATAATGGGATCCATGACACAGGGATGTTGTAAACGTTAAATGAGATAAATATGTATATAGCAGTTACTATTAAATAAATGCTCCCATTTATCAATACCAGTCAAGGTCGTCAGTACAAGTCTGTTCTCCCCAACCCAGCGGCCTTTCCTCAGTCCCTTTCCCATACTCTGACATCCAACAGGAAGGACCAAACACCACCTTCTTAACAGTCCTGAATTACTTGACAATTCCTTACCTCTCTGATGACACCTTCCTCCCTCTATGGCTTCCCCAATGGCCTTTTCATGTCTCTACCTCCCCAATTGTGCCTACATTTCATTATTCACTGTTGCTCTCTCAATGCCCTCAAATAAAAATCTAAGTATTTTATGAAATTATAGAAAGAGCTGCAGATTTGTAAGCTCCTTTTGCTATTTTAAGTCAATTTCTAACTCAGTTTCTCAATTTCTTATCAAAGCGACAAGGCTGTCACACTGTATACACAAATATCTAAATTATTCCGACTTCCCAATTGAAGACCTCTAAGTGTTTCACATAATCTGTGGTTGAATTAGTGGCAAATGATACTTTTATCACTTTTCACTTGAGAAAATCATGACTCAAAAACTAAATTAATTTTCCAGGATCACACTTCTTTTAGTTTGATGAGATACAAGCTGAACCCAATCTTTAGTCACACGGCAGCATTCAATTCTGGGAACTTTCAGTCTTAGTCTTAATAAAACCTGTATTCTGCATACATTTCAATGGAGACCGAGACAGAACTATCTGGACCATTGTTTTACATCTCCAATCCCTACCTTGTGTACTCTCTGATTCTAGTTCTGGTTATTATTCTAAAACAAGAACATTTTACCAATGAAAATACACTATTTCAAACCTTCTTTTACTCCTCCCATCCCCACTTCAAAATATACTGTCAGTTTCCAAGTCTTCAATGAAAAACATGATTTGTACAACCACTCTGGAAGGGCAAGACAGTGAACTATACATGAAAATGTCATCAGCCCCTCCAGAAAAGTCTCCACCCAGGGTGAAGAATGACAGGCCCATGAGAGAAAGGTCTTTACCAAAACTGAGTTAAATTTTTTAAGATAATAAAAAGTAGGACTACCTATATCTAAACTGTGTTTTAATATCCAAATATCCCAAATGAAAAAAAAAGAGATGTACAATTCTCTATGTGACATGTGCATAGAGACACTGAAGGTCATGAATGGTCTTTGCCTATGGCCCGTTCTGGTCCTCTCTGGTGTTCCCAATTACCCAGTCCCTCTGCTGCTCCATAACCTGCCATGCTTCATGCTGAGTCAGCCTCTTCTCTCTGTTCCCTTCCTCAATGTAAATATAGGTTCTCTTAGGCATCAAGGAGCCTGTAGTTGTCTTCATTCTAATCTTCTTGGTTCAAAGCAAACCAAACAGATCATGCTTGGTCCAGATACCTCCATGGTACATTTACAAGTATTTACTACTTACTTATGTATTTATTTAGAGACAGGGTTTCACTATGTAGTTCAGACTGCCCTTAAACTCATGGCCAGCCTCCTGGCACAGCCTCCTAAATTCTGGGGTTACAGATGTGTACCACCATAGCCAGCTCTGCCAAGTATTTAGGCCCAAGAAAATTTTTTGTAATTACAAATGTAAGGTTTGACCTACAATTTAAACAAAAGCAAACCTCCACCAAAGACAGTTCAAGGGCAGGGGAGGTCTTTTTTGATCTATAAAATAATCTGCCACTGGCAGGGCTTGCTATATGGAATTGAGGTAAACCTAAATTGAGAGACAGCGGACAGATCTGCTGGACAGTTTTTCATCTCTGTTCCAAGTGCACTCTGTCTCATTCCCATGTCAAAGGCCTTGTTTAAATCTCCCCTCCCCTGGGACTCAATGTAATGGTCGTAAGATCATTTCCCTTCCCCAACCTATTTCCCACTGCCAAAATGTCCTTATTATCTACACAAAGCTAGTCAAGGGCCTTCTTAGGCTGACAGCTGAGCTTTATTAAGTAGGCCATAGAGTGGGACCAAGGGAAAGGGATATGCCACACCACAGTGGCCATGATGCCACAGGGAACAGGAGCTCTGTGCAAGACAGCCCACAGCTACGTGCCCAGCCTTTCCCTTCTTCCCTGGAATGGCACCAGCTCACTCTTCCTCTTTTCTTCTCTCCTTGCAGCTTCCCCTTTTGACTTCTTGCCTTAGCTTATGCATCCCTCCCTCTCCTGCCTAGGATCTGGCTTCATCTCTAAGAGCTTCTCTTGCACAAGGCATCCATAAAAACTATACAGTTGCAACATTTACAAACGTCATTCTGGAGGAAAGGGCTACCCATTTGCACCTCCAACACTTAACAGAGCTGTAGCCTGTTAACCCCAATTTTCTACCTCTCTGCCATTTCATGCTTAACATGTTCAAAGTTAAATTTGCCTTCTTCACAAATAAACACTGTTCCCAACCTTCCCTCCCTGGGACCTCCTCCTTCATCCACTCCCACCTTCTTCCTCCACATCCTCTGCCACACTTTGGAAAAACATCTCCTCCTCACCACTCCAACACCACCATCTTTGTCCACCTTTGCTACAAACCCTCTTCCCCTCTATACCCTGCAATCTCCACCAGGAAGAGCTTTCTGAAAAAAAACTCTATCATCCTCTAAAAGTCTGTTCCAAAGAGTTCAATCGTGCCTCCTTTCATTAAATTATCTTTAAGAGAGCCAGCTCTCAAGAGCTGGATAAAGGCAGGGACCAAAGCCAACAGGACAGACCTAGTAATGTGTTTTACCCAGGGAACCCCTGCCCTTATGTTTTTCAAGTGAGTTGCTGGCTGGGTTTTCATCTGACTGTTTAAAAGCTGAAGATCTCTTCCAGCCAAGGAAGGGATCAACACAGTAAGGGTTCCTACAGGTAGGTGTCATTCACCTGTCTCTCTGAGTGATGACAGACAGACAGCACACTGTTTTATTCAGTCCAGCCCATGTTGCTGTTAGAGCCAACAGTTCCGTAAGAGAGTTCTGCTGAACCATTATCTCTTCCTCTGTAACTTCAACCCATGGATCTTTATTCATAACTAACACAGCTGGCTGCCTCTGCTCTGAATAATTTTAAACTAAGAGCCCTCTAATTGTAATTCCATTATAACATGAATGCTGCGATCTGGAAATGCTCTACAGTTTTGAAGAATATGCTTTCAATGTGTAAACAATTCTGAGACAGGCAGTATTCGTTCATATTCACCCTCCATGCAGGTCTTTATTTGCCACATAAACTCCTGTTCCAATTAAGCTATCTTCCTGACTTGTCTGAGGAAGACGGAGCAACAACTCTAATCTCTCAGCCTTCTTTCACTCATGAATCTCCAAGTTCCAGGAAACAACCACCATTATATCCCATCCACCCCCACAGCTCTTACAGCTTTCAGTGGGCTGAGAGGCACTGGTGCCTCCCCGCCGTGGAGTTGACTGACTTGAAGTAATAATTACCAGTTGGAGGGGCTCAAAATTGTCAACTAATACCCCTCTATTCTGCCTGTTTTATTCTGTTGTTTCTTAGCCTTGTCTGAATCCCCACAGAGCATTTTGTTTCATATTTTTAAAAACATACTGGTGTTTTTACAATGACGATGTACAATCTAATACTACTCACTATTGTTTTTCTTATTTTATTTTCCTTAAAACCCAGTTTTGTTCACACAGCCTACTTCAGGTAAAATATGGCTCATCAAGTACATAGGCTAGACTCACAAGACCACCAGAGAATGTGAAGCACCATTTCCAAGCTACCACATGGTCACGGACCCCAGCAAATCTATTTTCTAGGGCAACAGCGAGCACAGATAAACCATCTGAGTGATCCAGGAAAAGTTCTGTTACCTGGCCAGCATGTTCTAAACACTGTTTGCTAATTAAAACACCAGTCCAGCTCAAACTGAAAGTTGAGAAGAGCTTGCCTCAACAGTAAGTGTCCATAACTAGTTACTAATCTACGTTTGCACCAATAAATTTTCTCGTAGAAAGAAGAAATCTATTCAGTTACATGTTTACACAGAGCATATGAACTTGTAGATTAGGTGTTTTGACTTATAAAAAGAATCTGTAACTATGCAATTCCAGACAACCTGGAGAATGAATTTTGGAAATACTCTACAGAAATGTCAGGACAAGGGCCTTAGCAGCCATGTCACAGAACTGGGGAGGCCAACTGATTGTATCCATGTTCTGCAGCTAGACAGTAAGACACAGGCAAGCAGATTTGCATTCAAAAGTTATGCTGTGATTATGGCTGATGAATTATCTGCCTTCTGTTGAAGGAACAATGTCCCTCAAGGAACACACTTCAGGTACTAAGCATATCTTTGTGCTTAGTGTGCTGTGCTAAGAGGAACCCTCACCCACATACTCAGCTGTACCTTTCGCAACATGCTAATTTCAGTGGCCATGTGGAAGATACTGCAAGACTAACATGGGTACTTAGGAGAACACCTTCTTCCTAGGCTGCACATTGCCACATACCTAAAATAGGATATGTCACAGTCACAGCTGGGGGGGCCATCGTTTCACTGAAGGCAGTGTCTCATTCTCAGAGATACATAAAATAACAGAGCACCTTACTATAATTGGCATCTGACATTCAATGGATTATGTTGACTATATTTGGACAAAACGTATGGAAAAGAGAACATGTTATTCCATTCTTGTTTCTTTATTAACTGCAAATATGAAATTTTGCATCCTCCCTCTGATTTATTTACTTATTCAAAAACTGATCACCCACTCACTTATTAAATATGTATTTTTTATTTGTTCTTTGCCAAGCACTAGGCTAGATGCTATGAAGTAGCAGTAAATATGAACGGTCACACTTAAGTATGTAGCAAATTCTTCAAAATCACATATTTGTAGGGAAATTATACATTTCTGACTAAATGACACTATTCAAAATGTAGGCCTTAAAAATTCTTATTGATGATGGGTGTGGTAGCACATGACTATAATCTCAGCACTCAAGAGGCTAATGCAGGTGGATCATTGTGAGTTCAAGGCCAGCCTGAGCTACAAAGTGAGTTGAAAGCCAGCCTGAACTGTGTAGCAAAACCCCATTTCATTTCTATTTTTATCTTTATTTTTTTTGAGACAGGGTCTCACTATGCAGTTCAGGCTGGCCATGAGCTTACTTTGTAGCCTAAGCTGACCTCGAATTCCCAGTGATACTCTTTCCTTAGTCTTCTAAGTCCTAAGATTATGGGTGTGCCCCACCACACCAGGCCATGCTATGGTATTTTTAAGGAGCATTTATCTTTTAAAGATATCTACTAAAATATTTATGAAATAAATAATACAATGTTTGGAATTTCCTTCAGAATATTAAGCTAAACAAAAAAATTATTTTTGCAGGTCAAAATGGGTTGATTTACTGAGAACTGGGAAGCAGGGAGAAGCACAAATGGAACGAAACTGGCCAGAAGCTGATTAATGTCAAAACTGGAGGAATAATCTTCTGAGTAAACGTTGCTCATCTATCTCTTTACTATGTGTATAAAGTTGTTCCACAATAAAAAAGTTAAAATAAAATTAGGCCTTAATACTGTGCTATATTTAAAATAAGACAGAAACTAAAAACAGTGAAAATGAAACTGGAAATATAACCGCTAAAACAGTTTGTCTAAAATACATATTTTCCAAGCTAGATGTAAATATCTCTGTAACTTGACTGCATCTAAGTTTTCCTTCAAAACCTAACTAGAGTCAGCGTTCTGTAGCCACAGGTCCTGCATTCATGTATTCTATCAATAGCAAATCGATAATATTCCCAAAACAATCATGTCTGTACTGAACATTTCTCCTTTCTTCCTTGTCGTTGTTCCCTAAACAATATCTTCTCAAGTCTAATTATATTTATCAGAAATAAATTATTTCGAATTTTTTCTGAAAATTTCAACTTACTGACTTGGTTTTAAAGATCATGCTATTAAGAGATTTTTCTGCAACAGCTATTCTAGATTATGAATCGGAATATTCAGCACCTCCTTTGAATTCAGTTCTAAATAACTACATGACCTTGGACATGTTCCACTCAACCATAGGACTCAGTTTCACCTGCAAATGGAAGCCAGTGAGAGACCATTTCTCTAGTGGTCTATGGCTCCATAACCATGGTGTCTATTCTCTCTTAGCAATGCAAGCAAGGCCCAGTTGAAATGGGAGATTTAGTTTCTCATTACTTAACAAGGGCTATTCATCCATGCACAAAGATCTTCAAACTAGTTCAGATTCCCTAGCCTACTGAAAAGCCCACATACATATACACACTCCTATGGAAATCTTCAAGAATTGCAAGAGATGGTTCCACAGTGGACCCAGAAAAAAACCTACTGAGAACTACACTTAAGCTGACTACTGTGTCTTCAAACTAATTACATGTGATGGAACATATGCATATATGCTAATACAACTGATAGAAGTACATGCTATTTAATAAATAGTGAAGAACAAATAGATGAAAATGTACTTCATAGCATCAGAATGAATGGGTTGTTGGAGCTTAGTAACTCAGCAACCAGATGTCGAGAGTTGTGCTGGCCAGCCAGAGGCTCCAGATTGTCAAGCTCTGTGTGAAATTTATGACTTCATTCATAAGTCAACATTGGCAATCTCAGATTAAGCAGGGGATATGTACACTTGTGTCTGCAAGTAAGTGCATGCCAAAGAAGAGACAAGTAAAGCACATAAAGCACAATAGCAAAAGAAGACTAAACACTCCACAAAGCTCATATTACTTGTCTCTGTGAAGCAGAATATGAATCATAAATTGTGGCCTCAACTTTGGCTTTGTCTCTGAACAACCAAAGATTACCTTGATGTGCTTAACTCTGTCTTCTTTTTCTGTCTTTGGTTTCTTTCCTGTGACAATAAAAAAAGTAGTTTTTGGATTAATTCATGAAGCACATAGAAACACCCTATATTAAATTCTCTCTGCAACTCTCAATAAACCAATTGACTTAATTTGTATAGGATCAAAATTCCAAATGCACCTGTTATCCCTTTGGTGACTTGAAAGTCATTTTTCCCAGGTTAGATAAAGGCCGAGCTGCCACCTGTATCCTGAGCAGGTATTCTACCTTTGCAGTTACTAGACACAGAAGTAAGTTACCAATGTATATATTAAGAGATCTCTATTTTAGTCAATAAATATCCTTACCTTTCTTAGAAGGTCGTTCGGATAAGGGCAACATCCGGTATACTCTGAAGGCATTGTTTCCCTTTTTTATACTTTTATCTTTAACTTCTTCAATATCAGGCAAGGAATTCATGGCACATCGAAAATTCGCCTTCCATGTTTTTGGATCAGGTTTATCTACTCCTGGTTGATGCTTCCCTAACAAAATAAAAAAAAAAAAAGTTAAGGAAAAGAAGAAAAATTAGACATACAGATAAAAAAAGAAAAAGAAAATACTAGAAACACAGCATTGCTTGACAGGTTGTACAAAGAAACCTATTCATTCTAGGATCCACCTGTAGGTCACTATAGTGACCAAATATTCCCACTTGCCAGTATTTAAATGTGGGCATTTTATTTTTAAAACCTACAGATTTAGGCAAACTGGAACAAAAGAGTCACCTTGTTTCTATTAAATAGCCTGAGAGAAAAGGTAGAGTGAAGAATGAATGTAAATGATACTGAAGACCAGAAGGCCAGGAAGGCCAAGAAGCAGAAGTAACTTCTGACATTCAAATATTAAGTAAAACATCCAGCCCTCAAAATTTGTTATAAATAAATGTATTCTTAACTACCCTTTGGGAAGCTAATTTCAACTCAAAGTTTATAGCTCTAAAACAAATGAGTTTATATTTCTCTGGTAGCCATGGGGAACTTATTGGAATACCACATTTATGGGAAAATTAAAGACTAAGCTCCTATGGGACAAGTGGAACACCACTTCTGAATGATGTATTTTGTATTCACATCTCCTGGAGGAGACAAGTCACAGGGTTTTCAGATCTCTCTTCATGAGGCCATGAGCCAGGATATTTTACATGTGTAAAGAAAACAAAAATAAACAATATTGCCTGCCTCTGGAAGGGATGCAGGACGTTTAATACCTGTATGGATCGCCCAGTTTCTAAAGAGTGGTGCATCTTTCTCCACATCCCACCCATGCCGAGCCGCATGCATCCAGGGGATCTGGAAAATCTTCTTTTCCTGGAGTAAGAAAAAGTAAAAAATAACTGCAGTCATCAGGTTTGGCCAACCGTGGTTGAGGGATCTTGGGTTCTCATGAGTAAGCGCTCCCACCAAGCACCACTGAGTTTTGTGACTGTCTACAGTGAAGTCAACTAAACCAAACTCAATTCCAGCTGAGTATTCAATCTTGACAATCTGCTCTGTGCAAGAATCAGACTTGCATAGCTTGGCAGATAAAGCATATATATATGTTCCAAAGTCAAAGTCAAAGGCGAAATTTGGGATATGCCAATGTAATGCGTTATTCATGTGTCTCCCAATATAGAGGACCACAAATAATTAGCCAACAACTGAAACAACTGAAACCAAACGCCCTTATCTCTTGCGTAGTCAACAAAAGAAGAAGATTCTATCTAAACATCTAATCCTATGAGCCCACTGTCCTGCATGAAACAGCAAGAAATAGAAATATGCAGAGATTAAGAGATAATATTCATTTTCTGGCAAAATTTCCTCAATACAATCCTTAAATCAGACTACCTTTTTACAGCATGAGATGGTAACTCAAAATTGCCTGAATGAGCCCTGGAAAACTCATGATTAAAAACTAATGCTTCAGAAACAAAGTCATATGCATAGTGAAAATACATGGGTGAAAGCTGGGGAGATCAGCCCTCTGACAACCCCAGCAGTTACTGAGGTCGCCAAGGCACTGTGTACTTGATTCCACATGTCCACACAGGGCTCAATTTTGGTTTTTGCAACTGCTTAATGAGCTAAGTCTATGTCATAATTTCTACTTTACTGTTGAGGAAACCGAGGAGCAGAATCACATTACTTAGCCAAGAAGCTTATGGTTAAAGTATCTAAATTCAAGACCCCATAATCCTACCATGCATTGTCTCTCAGCTTTTAGATTTAGCATATTCCCAGTCCGGGGACAGACCTGTTGACTCAGATACTGTGGCAAATAAAGCTCAGGAAACTATCTTTTTCAAAAACTCTCAGGCAGTTCTAGTAATTGTTAGGTACAAGGATCTCTGCACTACACAGTGGGGAAGGGAAGGAAATGTTAGCAGGGATTTTCCATCACTTCAGCCTCACACAGTGAAATCCTAAGGGGTTCCAGATGTCCCAGAAGGGACTCAATACCCCTCCACAGAACCAGAGACAAATACTGAACTGAAAATATTTCAGAATGTTGGAGAGTTTCCCAAAAACTGTTACAAGGGAAAATTCTCTCATATTTTTGAAAGTCAATTATTAAAGGAGAACTGAAAGTGAGAGACTTTTTCACGAACTCTTCATTGTCCATTCTTGGTCACCCAAAATGACAACAGGGTCTCACCAGGTATGAGTCAAAAGGCAATGGATCAGAATAGGGTCAGTGAAGTTCTATTTTTTAATGTCCATGAAAATCAGAGAACAAAATCTCTTAATGCAGGCTTTTTATGTTCATATGAGAATTAATTCAAATGAAAAGGAATCGATTTCAGAGGACTTTCCTGAAATGCATGTTCATAAACTAAAGTCTTCTGCTAAAGTGATGCAGACCCTGAAGAATTTGCTGCTGTACTTTTTCTAGATGAAAAGAGCTCTGGGGTGACAATTTAAAGTCTATCCTGTGAGACACAAAGTTGGTACAGGGAATTTAAGTCATCTTCAGTAGCTGCATGCGCTCACACAAAATCAAATGTATTCTCTCAGAAACCATGCAAAAATCATGACATCAAGAAAGCAATGACTCTGGGTAACAATATCCACTATGGATCCTCTCAATATGGGCAGGGGACTATAAAAACTTTTCTCAGAAAAAGGTATACAATGAACGCTTGAAAAGATGGTAAATGACACTAATCAATAAAGAATCAAAATCAAAATAATACACATCTCACATTTACCAGGATGTCTATAATTAAGATAAGACCCAGAAAATAAAAAGTATTGGTGAGGATTTTGAAAAGCTAAAATCTTATTCACTATTGGAGTGCATGTAAGACAGTGCAGCTACTGTGGAAAACAGTTTGGACATTCCTCAAAAAGTTAGACAGACGATTGTCAGGTGCTTCAGTAATTTCACTCTTGAATATGTATACAAAGAATTTCAACAGGTGTTCAAACAAAATCTGACATGCAACGTGCATCGCAGCGATGCTCTCAGAAGCACGAAGATGGAAACAATCCAAGCATCCATCACCTGATGAATGGATAAGCCAAATGTTGCATATGCACGCAATGGAATATTCAGCCACAAAGAAAGGAATGAAGCACCGACACATGCTAACACACGGATGAACTTGTAAAACATTATGCTGATGGGAAAAGACCGAACATAAAAGGTCAAATATTGAATGAGTTTATATAAATATCTAGAAAAGGAAAATTTAGAGACAAAAAATAGCTCAGCAGTTGCCGTGGGTTAAAGGAGAAAGAAAAAGGCTGTGACTATTTAATGGGTTTGGCATTTCCTTTTTAGTAGGATGAAAAGGTTTTGAAACTGGATGGTAGTGATGGCCACACAGCCTTATGAATGTGCTTAATGTTACCGTACTGTGCATTTCTAAATAATTCAAATGACAAAAAATATTTTAAGCTGCAAGTAAATATTAACTAGTTTTTTCATACTGCAGGAAAAAACCACCAAGTAAACATAGCACAGATACCTGTTTTTTAAAAAGACTATTTTTAAAGGTAAAAGGTGACATTCATTTTTAAACTTAGAGATGTTCAGGCGTAAGCATCCTCATCACAGAACACTGTGAGTGTTCACACTAAGTAAGAGTAAGGTGATGCTGTGTCTATGTAGACCCCGTGGCATCTTTAAGCACCCTCATGCCCACCCGCAGTGACCAGTGCTGCATGCGTGGTGGCTGGACACTGCATATGGAAGCGCTGAATGGACCAGTCCTCCCTCTCTTGGATACAATGCACCCACCTCTGTCCATCTGAGAGCAGAAGACAGAAGCTGTTCAGAAAAACAACTCAGTTTCTTTTAAGCAGTGCTGACAAACACACCTGATCCCCTGTGAAAACCAGTGCTATTATCTCCGTCTGCCTCTTCTTTCTCCCACTATTTAGAAGATGCTCCAATCAATTTGCTCTTTTCATTTGAACTTTCTGTCATGTGCAGAGGTAGCCTGATGCTCACACATGGACAAGCCCATTTGAAAATGAAGGAAAGGGAAGCTCAGGCACTACCTGACAGTCCCTATACGTAGGGAGTGGTAGGTACATGGGTCCAACATGGAATAAAAATGCCAGGAATCACACAGAATTAGGACAGAAATGCGGAGCCCAGAGGTGGCTCCCTCCTTCCTTTCATCCTAAATGGCCCAGAGGAACCATAGCAAGCATTTGGACACATCTAGAACTAACTTGGACTTTCAAGGACAAGAAGGAAAAAAACCCAGGGGTTACATTTAGGATCTAGAGAAGCTTGTGGTAATAGAGGATACAGTGGACCTTTTTAGATTCTCATTTGAACAAATCAACCATAAGAGATACTTTGGGAATACTAAAAGCATTCAAATACAAACACAGTAATGATATTAAAATTGCTACTATTTTCAATTGATAATGGGGTTGTATATTTGTAAGAAAATGTCTTTAAGTCTTATACATGTATACTGTCAGACCATGCCATTAAAATACAACACACACACAGGCACCCACAAAGGTACTACAAAATATTAATAAACCCAACAATCTAGATACGGGCATATGGGAATATGCTCTCCCAGTCATTCTGATCATTATTAAAAACATACTATGTACATTTGTAAATACTCATAATACAAAGTAGATACCTCGAGTCAAAGTTTCTTGCATATAATGCTGTTTTGCAACTGTCCCCACTGTTCCTTCAGCAGAATTCAAAGGATTTATTTCATCACAAACATCCTTCAAATTTATCAGAAGCAGGAAATGGAAACAAAGTAAGGCAGTAATTAATCACCTACTTGTTTTTTCCTAAGAATGCATCGGGTTGGATGGGCTCTTCATAGGGGGCATGTGACAGTGGTCAACCCACACTCACTATTCATAAATCCACCAATAACACAAACACAAGCCATGCTGCTCCTCATCCGTACACGACCTTCATTCGTGTATCTGCAGAACACATTTTACAGAGTGCCTTCTACTCACTGCTCACTGGGTGACACTCACAATAGCCATGTGCTGCACATGGAGTTTCTGACCCGCACACGTAAGCAGTACACTCTGACCACCATCTGCCATGGTCTGCATATGGCTTCAGTGCACCCTCCAAGGCTCCTTTGGCCCCTGGTGTGGAAGTGTTGAAGTGACAGAACCTTGAAGCGATGGGGTCTTAATGAAGGATAATTAGGTCATGGGACTGCTGTGCTTATAAATGGGTTAACAATGTCTCACAGGAGTGGATCAGTTTCCTCAAAATCAAGTTGTTATAAAAAGAGCAAGCCAGCTCCTGCCCTGGTCTCTTTTTCCTTGCTTACACACTTTGCTTTCTACATGTCTGCCAAGTTGTAAAACAGCCAAGAGGGCCCTCAGCAGGACATGGATCCTATGTTGTCTGAGTGTTCTAACCACCAGCATCATGTACCAAAAAATGTTTGTAAGTTACCTCGTCTCAGGTGTTTTAATATAACAACACAAAATGGACTAAGACATCAGCTAAGGCACAATTAAATCATAAAGAACCAGGTATACTCTCTGTTTTCTTAGAGTCACAACAGTCTTCAGCAGAGAAATGAGTCTGAACTAACTAAAATATAGACAGGATTCTTAGAATGCTTGTGAGTGGGAAGGAACTAGCGTGGGTCACTCAGTTAAGTATTTATGTGGACAGATGAGTGTTAACAAACAGAAGTTAGGGAAAACCTATAAGAAAGATGCTAGTGGAAGTGTATTATGGAGAAAAAACATACCAAGTCCACAGTGAGGCCCACAGTGACAGTGGCAGCACTGCCCATGTGCATGGGCATGGCCCCATGCCCACTGCTGCTAGGCCTCCATGGATGGGATGCCTGCCTGACAGGGACCACAGGCCATTTGGCAGCCCAGGGTCTCCTGTGTCAGGGTTGGCCTGAGAGGCAGTAGTAGCTGGCAGCTGGCACACACTCCCCTTCCATCAGCTGGGCTCATGTCCACTCTAGCAGAGGACCTGGGAGGTGGCAGGTAGTACTCTTTTCCAGGTCCTCCTGGAAAGAGAACTCTCACGCCAAAGGCCTAATGAATGAAGACCAGCAAGAAAGGCCACTCAGGATAAGTGTTGGGTTGTAAAAAACAGAACTCTGCTTGCCTTCTTGGACTTGGATTGCAAGAATAATGTAAATGAAAGAAAATTGGATCCAATCATTAAAGAAAATTGGATCCAATCATTAATAGTCTCCTAGGGCTACTGTGACAAATGTCTACAGCCTCATCTCTAATCAACTGAAATTTATTGTCTAGAAACTAGAAATGCTAAATCAAGGAGTCAGCAGAGCTGCACTCTTTTCAAAAACTCCCCCAGAGGATCCTTCTTTGCTTCTTGCAGTTTCTGGTAGCCCCAGGAATTCCTGGCTGGCAGCTACACCACACCAATCTCTATCTCTGTCTTCACATGGCTTCTCTATGTGTGTCTTCTCTTCTGACTCTCAGGAAGACAGGCATTGGATTTAGGGTCCAACAGATAATCCAGGATGATCTCATGATAAAGTTCTCAACTTCATGTGCAAAAACTTTTCCATGTAAGATCATGGCCAGAGTTTGTGGAGGTCTGTAATGGGTTATCTTTGGGGAAGCTGCTTCTCAATCTGCTAAAAGAAGACAACTAACACAAGATAAGGGAGGCCTGATGATGCCATGTTCTCCACGTTCAGATGTGTTTTAGGAAAAGCAAAGGAAAGACAGACCACTTGTATTTCTTCAGAATTCAATCTGTTTTAATCTCACATTCTAAATCAAATCAGGTAAAGTTTCTTCAAACTAGAATCCTACGGTGGGGTTTACATGAACTAATGCATATACTTTGCTTAGAAGAGTGCATGGCACATAGCATTTGACAGGTGTTGGTTCTTATCATTGTCATCATTATCATCATCATCACCATCATCATATCTTCTTCTTATTAAAGGTTAATTACCTATCTAAATTTAAAACACTGCAGATACAGCAAGCTTAAAAAATATATGTACTGTGAGCTTATGACATAGCTCAGTGTTACAACATTTGTCTAGCATATGCAAAGTACTGGCTTTGGTCTTAAGCATCACAAAAAAAAAAATAAAGTTTTTTCTTTTTAATGTAAGACTAAAGATATGCCACAGCATACATGAAATAACCACATGGTTTATTTATTTCTATTTACTCTATACCCACCTTATTTCAGAAAGGACTTATTTAAACAGCTATTCAAATATAGTAACATTAAATTTAAAACAGATGAAAGTATAAGAACAAAGAGAAGTAATATCTCAGTGATATCTGAAAAGATAAAATAAAGCCAGAAATGATATTGGTTTGAAATAAAAAAGGCCATGATATCGTTTTCACTCACTAGAAGCAGGTCTCGATCTGCAATCTGGCTCTAAGCTTGCAGACCTGGTACAGAAATAAAGCCTGACTGGCTGAATTATTCATTGTGTCCTTCAGACTTAAAAAGAAAAAGGAGGGGGGGGGGTAGAGAAGAGTAAAAAGACATTTCCTCAGAAAAACTGCAATTATTCCCAGGAGTAGGAGAGAGACTTCCCCCTTGAGCTTCCGAAGGTGGGTGTAATACATTATATTCCGTTACTTTCTAAGTTATAATTATGTTTTTAAAAATTATTTTACATAATTACCTCCTTCTGAATCCTCCCTAACAGCTAGGATCAATCGGTTAGAGTTTAGAGGTTAAAATTTAAGTAAGGGAGTATTGGGGGGAAGAAGAGTTGTAAATAAATGACTACTTTTTTACAACATGTGGACACAAAAGCTGGGCTTCCTTTAAAGACAAAAGACATTTCTTACAAGACAAAAACCAAAATTTTTTAAATGGAAAATGCTCAAAAGAACCCAAAATGCCCCATTCCTAATATAAAACTAGGAGTTTCTAAGTCTTTAATCCTAGAAAGCCAGCGATAACCAAAAAGGAATGTGGAGAAGGATGTTGATTAGGGTCCCTAAAGAAACCACAGCAAGGAGCAAAAGACCAAAGGAGTGTTGCTAAGGGAACTCAAAATTTAGGTGACAGAGAGAAGACGGAAACCTCCGTTACGATAACTTGATGTTTTATAACCAGTGTTGGTTGGTTCTTGTAATGAGCAAGTCTAAGATTCTGAACACAAAAACCAATTTTCTTTTTCTTTTGGTGGTCCGTGTGGGCCTGCTTTCAACAACTCTCCCTCCCATGTGCACACGCACAATTTCACACACCAAATACACGTACCTTGTTAATCCACCTTAACCCCGGTATTGTATTTGAATTTATCTGTTCCTCCAGCCAGGGGCGCATTCGCATCCTTTCCACCGGCATGGCGCCTTTCTGCAAAAGGGAAACACAGCGTGAGTCATTTCTGCTACCGACTCTCCCTTCTGCACTTCAAAGCTCTACACCCCTGCTTGAGCCTTTTCTGTCTCCCCTCTCCTTGGAGTTGGGGGGGGGGGCTGGACAGTGTATTCAGGGGTGTTGCTCTCCAGCCACCTGTCCTTGCTTACTCTTCCTGCTCCTCCCGTCTGGGTGGGGCAATGGAATGGACCAGGCCTGCACTCTTTAGGCCCTCAGCTGCAGGGACCACAGGCCTCACAGGCCTGGTCTAGCATACACCAGCTAGCTAGAGCCCACACATCTCCCATGATGTCACTTTAGGCTAAGATTTAGCCCCTTTCCTACCCTAGCTGTGTTCAGAGCAGAAAATTTCAACATATCAGGCATTCTGAGGACCGGTATCTTACAGTATCTTCATTATCAGCCCTCTGAAAGCCAAGGATGGTCACAGCAAAACAGTTTTGTGGTAAAAAGTTATGATAACCAACTCCTTCCTTTGGGTATCTGGGTTATATAAATGCTGGGAACTCCCAATTTTGGCACTTAAAGTTACATAAAAGATTCCACTTTCAGAGATACCAGCACCTTATCCTTTCTTCATCTTTGCTTTTACCGGATTGTAATGTCTTATTTGCTCCCCAATCATCTTTTCTCAACACCTTCCTCCCCTCTGGCCCAACAGTATCTCCTTTCCCTTTGATTTACTTCGCCTTAGAGAATCACTGTGTGACCTGACCGTCCTTCCTGCACCAGTCCACATAGCGCCTCTCTCTCTCCTCCCATACTTCTTCCTCCGAGTCTTTCCCTTGGCCACCAAAATATAGCCAAAGGGGAATCACTAATAATGCATCTTTCAAACTGCCAGCTAATCCCCTTCAACTTATTTATGCCTACTTTTCCATTTCATTTGGGATCTAAAAGCAAATACAATACCAGCCTAAGACTACAGGACTTCATGGACAATGTTGATATTATAACCCTCTTTTCAACCCTCAACTATTTCTTGGTTCTGTCACTCATTTCCTCCAAAACTGAGCTCTGAAAATTCCATTCAGCCGCATGAGAGCTGAAATGGTCAGTGTTTCAGAACTCCCTCATCTAGTCTGCTCACGACTTCTCTACACTCTGCCCCCAGTTATTCTCAGAGAAGCATCATTACAGGAAACACAAAGGGGCTCATTTTTGCCTGCAAGAGTCACCTGGCTTTTCCCTGTAACACCTTCCAGTTCCAGTCTGCTGATTGTTATACACCCCTGCCCTGCTCTTTCTAAGCCCTTTGCTTCTCTTTCCTGGGCTTTGCTAATCCTTCTCCAACCTCCAGAGACCCAAGCTCCACCCTCCTTCTCCACCAGATCTTTGCAGACCACTCCAGCCTGAAGTACTCCCTCATCCTCCAACTCATCGCTCACGTCAAAGTCTAACATTGGTTTTGGGCAGTCACTGTAAGCAAAGTCTTTAAAGCAACCTATCACCTTACCACTAAGCTTTTCAGCTTTGTATATCCTCTCTTCCTGAGAAAATTATGAGTTTTTGGTTTTGTTTTTGCACTGCTGAGGAATGTAACCTAGGGCCTGGCGTTAGGCAAGCAATCTACCACTGAGCTACACCTCCAGTCTTCTAAGTTCTTTGACAGTAGCAATTCTCTTCTTATAGGCTTACAAAGCCCAGAGGTAACCTTCTACAAAAGAAAAACATTTGATATAAGGACTGGGCCACAACTGAAGTTCAGTCTCAATGGGTCCACTGGAGGCTGGACTGGCCACACATCTGAAGCTCCAGGCCACCCTTCTTTGAGACATAAGCAAGAAACTTAAAAGACACCACTAGAAGACATGGAAAGGCCATATAGAGTCCTCAGTGCACTTGCTCCCTATGGGTCTGGAGTTGTTGATCTCCTTCATTCATATATCCACTCCAAGTTCATGGACTGAAAAAGATTCCAAGAACCGGAAATGATAAGGTGTTCTTTGCTATCTTGACTCCCAATCAAACAGGATTCAGGAAGGAAGAGAATTATCAATATGAAGGGTCTCATGTACAAGACAATACGGAGTTACAACAAAGAGTCACAGAAGAGCTCTGGGAGCTCTCTATATAGAAGATCACACTGAATGATCACTGTGGGGACTCTGCCCTGCAGGCAGGTGACCACAAGCCAGCTCCATCCTCCCTAGGAAGAAGATCTAAAGACACTGAGTGGAAGATGAAGCAAAAGCAGAATTAGGGGTAGTGACAGTAGTTACAAGCTGATGGCCACAGACTGAAGTTCTTCTGAGGAGATAATATAACATGCGAAACTGCTGCTGCTGTGTGGAACCTCAGCAATATGGAGACATAAGAAGAACGTGTGAATGGCCCAGCTTTCAATTCAGAATTGTAACAGTATGTTTCTTCTCAAATTTTTTCACAAATAACCCACTGGGGAAAAATGATCACCTGAAATATTTCATAAAGTCATTAAAACTATGACCTATGGAGAGATGCTATAGAACTATACCATTTCCAAATTCTGTAAATACAAATTTGCCTGCTTACTAAAATTTATTTGTGGCCACAAAAATTAATAACCCACAGTGATTCTGTGGCCACAGCAGACAGGCACAGAGAGGAAAACAGTGCTAGTCACCCAGCGTGCATGTTCCCAGCTGAGGTCACACAAGGCAACATGCTACCCTCCTATTTCTGCTCGCCTACTGCAAATGAATGTTCTTTTCATGATCTATTTAGTGACATTTTTCACACTTCTGTCCTTCTAGTTGGTCATTTTTCCATTTGACATGGTCCCTGACAGTGGTGCTGAAGTGCCATGCAGTGTTCCTCTGAATGTGAAGGCTGTGATATGCCTCGCGGAGACATTATGCATTAGACAGGCTTCATTCCGGCATGAGTTATAGTACAGTGGATAGGGGCTGTGACTTCAATATTAAACAGCCAATAACATGTATTAAATAAAGCATCTTTCAACATAAAAAATATACAAGATTATATAGTAATCAGTTAATGAAATGTGACTGGAAGCTCCAAAGAACTTGATATCCTTCTAAGAGGGAAGGTCCGGCTGGCACAGCGGTGCATACCTATAATCCCAGCATTCTTAGAGGCTGAGGCAAGAGGATTACAAATTCAACTACAGCCTGGACAAATTAACAGATTTAGCAAGCTCCTGCCTCAAAATGTAAAACTTTAACAAGGGCAGATGTGGCACGATGTGAAGGTCTTGGATTCAATTCAGGTCCCTAGTACCAAAACAAAATGTGGGGGGTAGGGGGTGGCGTTGTGGATGCTGACACACAAAAAGTGTCACACAAACACACAAGGCAAAAGGCCATGTGAAGACAGTCAGAGTTTGGAATGAAGCTACCACAAGCCAAGGAATGCCTGGAGCTACCCAAAGCTACTACATGTGGGATGAGTTCTCCCCTAGAACCTGCAGCGGCAACTCATAGACAGCCTGCTGCCACCTTGATTGTAAACTTCTAGCCTCCTGAACTGTGACAGAACAGATTTGTTCTTGTAAAACACACTGTTTGTGGCACTTTGTCCTGGCAGCACTAAGAACTCACACAGAAGTGACAGACAAAACAGAGGCCTCCGGACAGGAGGGTCAGCTCCTGACAGACAGTCAGCAATGAGGAGGAGCAAAAGCCAGACCAGACTGGCCCTGAAGGTTCTGGAAAATGCTGCCTAGGATTTTGATCAACATCTTAAGAATGAAAGCTAAAGGACTTAAACAAATGAATGGTAAGGCCAGTTCTCTCAGTGGTAGAGACAAGACCTGCTTGTGATATCCAAGAGCATGCTTCGTTACCTTTATGGGCATACAAATCTCAATTCACTAGTCCTCAATGACCTGTGACTCCACCTTTTAACAAGCTCCTAGGCCCATGGACCACACACTGACAGGCAAGAATCTAGATTCTCCTTGATTTTTGCATATAAATAGAGTGAATAATCTGTGACTTTCTATAAAGTCCAGTCATTCTGGCCAGCAGATCTCCTCACCACATCATCTTACTGTTGACCTATCACTTACTTGCATACCATAGTTTTCTAAAAAAGGATACAGTTTAACAACACACAAAATGTATCTCTACCCTAGCCAAACTACCAGAGTGTTATAGTTGGATATGGTTTATCCCCAAATGTTAATACTCTGGACATCTGGTCCCCATGTAGTAGTGTTGAGATTCTGGAACCTTTAAAAGGTAGGGCTTACTGTAAAATATTTAGGCCATTTCATGAATGGGTTAATGCTATCTCTTGGTAATGGGTCAGGACCTATGGGGTTAAATTAATTCCTGTGACAACGGTTGTAATGGCATCTCCTGCTGGCCCCCTCTGCTGTTCACACTGTTGGCACTGTGATGTCATCTGCCATGAGGTTTTCACCTCAGCCAAGCAGGTACTGTCTCCATGTCTTTGAACCTCCAGAGCTCTCAGCTAAAGAAACCCCTTGCCTTTATAAAGTCTCATCTCCAGGTATTTTGTTATAGTAACACAAAATGAACTAAGATATATGGAATCCAAACACATAAAAAAAACTTACAAACTACTTTTTGGTTTTTTTGTGTGTTTGTTTGTTCCTCATTTTATACAGATATGCATTGAAACAATCATATATAGAACATGAAAGATCTGGAGTTCATTCATTCTTCTCTCTTCTTCCAAGAACTAGTTAAGCCCATATGCTAAGAGGTCCTATGTGTAATGTCAAAAAAGTAGTGAATGGGTCCTTGCTAATAAAATCCCCTACAACAAATGTTAAAATTCTCTAGTTGCACAGTTTATGTAAAGATTATATCATCAGCACCATCATGATTGTTAAAACAGAGAAAGTCAAACAAAAGTCCCCTCTGCTCCTAGTCCTGATATCAGGTCAGTCTTCTGAGAAGATGTCTCAGTTATAAGAGGATACACTCTACCACATCATACCCCTAAACACTAGCTAAGTCCCAAGGCCCTGGGAAAGAGAGGCCAAGGCCAGTCCCTGGAGGGTG